CACAGTTTGAAACAGATGTCATTTAATGAAAAGGTGATCTGTAGCAGGCAGTGGGAAAGGAGGGAATGGATATCTATCATTGATTGTCCATTAAAATACATGATGAATGCCTTCAGTATTTCAATTTTGGTAGGAGGTAGTTGAATGTTTTCTTACATTTTTCCTCAGAATGGACACAAAGCTCCTAACCTCTCATCTTGCCATAGGGCTCCTTGACTTTTTGTGAACAAATCAAGGACATTAGTTATTCCTGTTTGCAAGGAACGAGTCCAGCTGCTCCTTTCTGTTTTTCTTTAAGAAGATGTAGATCTTTCAAAATCCACGTACAAGGAGTAATGACACGGCTGATTGGTGATTGTGCACACAGGTCTCTTTGACCTATTGGCACTTCCTCACGTAAGAGAGACTCCCTGTACAGAAAGTCATCTCATCAGGAGGTTGGGCCCTTGAGATTTTCTATTTGAAAGGTTTTTCTTTAAACAGCCTTCCTGGTGGAAAAATATGGCGTAGCAGAACAAAGAGAAGCATATGAATTTTCTGCTTTAATAATTAGAACTTTTATGGGGTTTAGGCTAGAGCAGATTCTACCTCTTTTTAAAAAGCATTTTCTTATTTTCTGGGTGACAAGATAGTTCAGAAGAGGCCACTGCATGCTTAATACTGAAGTCTCTATAACCTTGAAATTACATGAAATTACATGTAATCACCCAGTAACCATATCCACCATGACTGGAAGTTACTGCAAGCCAAAAGAAAGGCTAAGAGATGGGACAAGAAAACAAATTAAGGTGGGAATCTAAGCAACCTTGGCCTATAGTTTTTTGTGTGGAAAGTAGAATTAGACACCCAGGAGCTACCTGCCCTTACATTTTGCTCAGACTCCGAGACTTGTACTTTTAATGAGAAGAATGATCATAAATATCCCATAGAATCTGCAAAAAAAGGGCAAGAAGTGCTCAGCTACATTAGTCCAAATGGACAGGCTATTGAAATTTAACTGCTGTGTCAGGTCACAGGCACTGTGTAAAGCCACATTCCTTGATCACTGTTCCTTTTGTTACTGCTTAAAAGAAAACTGCATGGAGCACAGGTGCTCCGTCTTGGTGCCAGATCTGTAATACTTTCTCTCTGCTTGAGTTTTCTCAAAGTCTTGGGGTAATGAAAACATCACAGTGGTGGTTTTTACTGTTCTGGAGACTAGTCTGTGAAAAGAATTCAAGCATTTCATGTAAGAGTGCTGAAGAACTGGAACATTAAAGGGAATTCAGTTTGTATGGAACAGATTTTAGAAACATGAAGCTGAAAAAGAACTTACAGGATTTTCCATATTAGTGATGGAAATGTGGATTAGGTAGCCTGTTTGGGCCTGTTTGAACCTTAGTCTGGGAGTTTACCAGTTAAGAACACAGGTGTTTGTGGCAGCCTGAAAAGAGTTAGATTATTTTAGAAATTTTGCCCTACAAAAGGGCTGCTCAACTTTAAGAACTCGTTTTGCCTTAAAATACTCTCCCTACCCCTCAAAGCTTCTGCTGGGAGGTGAAATTTCAGGAATTGTGTATCAGTATTGTAATTATTTAAAAGTATTTCATATTTTGTCAGACCTAAAACTACAAGAATGTTATTTCCTATGATCTCAGAGTTTGTAAGTCTATTTCTGTTTTTTCCCAGTATCTGAGTTTGCTTTTCCAGACTAGTGAAACAGTGCATAACAAGCACAGTACCTCCATGATTATTTACTTAGGGCTTTGCCTTTTGCTAAAGACCTTTCACTGGGGCTTATGTGCAGAGTTGCATGTGCTTAGTTCAGTGAAATGTGGTTTAGCAAAATATACTCAAATGGTAAACACACTGAAAATTTTATCTTACCTTTCCCACAGCACAAAATAATTCAATTAAAGAACATAGTTAGATCAGAAAAAAAGGTAGTTATTAGATCAGAAGCCCCTAACTTGTATTATTTTGGGAAGAATTCTTCTTGCTTTGCATGTGGTTTTTCCCCTCTTTCTGAATCCCGTCTGCCTCACCTCAGATAGCTGCAGTGATTTTTTCCATATTGCTAACAAGTACTTTCCTTTCTGTCTCTGGTGCTCTCAAAACACTTACCCAGTAACGCTTCATAAAACAACTGTGCTCTTTTTATCAGCAAATCTTCTGTGAACTCCTTTTTAACTGCAGATGGAAGTTCTCACTGTGTTGCTGAAGAGTCCTATCAACAACACTGAGTGTCCAGTGCATCTCTAGGTAACTACAAGGAAATTGTTTGAGATTCAAACTATCTCGAATGAGAAGACTACAAGTAGGAATGAAACCCATGTGGATTTGGACAGCAGGAGTTGGGACCTTGGGGTTTTAGGTCTTCAAAGGCTGTGTGGCTGGAAGTCCTACTGGCCTCCCAAGAAAACTTCCCCATTTTTCAAGACAAAAACTGAAACTGCTAAGTACTGGGAGAGGAAGAAAAAGAAACAAAACAAAGAGAAACCCCTCACCATCAATGAACATAGATAGAAAGTCTGGAGGAGATGGGCACAGGACTCGGGCATGGAGACAAGACATGGGCTCTTGCTACTGCTCCCTTTTTGCTAGACTCCAGAAGACAAGGCAGTTCCTGGAGAATGGAGTAATTCTTTGAGGACAGAGAGAGTCAAGCCCACTCCTTTCCAGCACTAATGCTTTCTATGAAGTAGAAAAGGGTCCTCTGTGGTAGGTCCTGCCTGGAACACAATGGGATCAGAAAATTCCACAATCTCCTGAGTCCCTAATGGGCTGACATCACCCTTTCAGAGAGGGCGATGAGAGACATTTCCTTCGTTTTTTTCCTGAGTTTTCCAGAAGAATCTATTCTTGTGGCCTGCAAACCCAACAGCTCTTGCTTAGGAAGCAAAATGCTTCCTGGGATCAGATAATACAGATCTCAATTTACTTCCAAGAGGGCTGTGGAGGGGACCAAAAGTGTTGCTCACTGCCACTACTACTGTTTGTAGGGATACACAGTTGAGGGTTCTTTCCTTTCTTTCTCTCCCAGATACTATTGGTGGATTTCTCCACTGGAGAAAGTTTAATCTGCTCAACTCTGTCATCCAGTTCCACTGGAAATGCAGGCGCAAATTGAACCACAAAGTCCTAACGTGACTAAGAGTGCAGAACAGGGTGGAGGTTTGACCAGGAACTGCCAAGCACTTGTAAGAATTCTCTGACAGTGTGTGCTTGTGAACCTGGTTATGGGCACCACTGACCCAGCACTAAAACCGAGAAGGTTGCCATAAGCCAGAGCACTGTGGCAAACACCTTGCATGTAAATTCCTGTCAGAATAATCTTTTTTCCAGTGCTTACTAAGAGCATATAAATATCTGTGGGGAGAGATCAGCCATTCATTTTCTCAGAGATAAATCCCTCTGAATGGTGAAATAGAAACTCCCTTTTGAGGCAGCTTGCTTTTTTGGTATGAAGTGACTTTACATTCTCAGCCATAGACTGCCCTGCAGTGGTGAAGCCAGAATCTGCAGCCTTACTGACTTTTACCCAGGATCTTTAGAATTCCTCATTAGGAAGTAGTTTGCTGATCACTAGAAGGGACAGAAAGAGCCTGTGCAAACTACAGACCAAATGAAAAATAAATGAAGCAAGGAAGATTTTATATTTCAGAGTAAATACAGTGTGCAGCAAAACGCCACTACTGACTGTTCATATTTTATCTCTTTTTCATAGGAAACAAGACAGATTTGATCACACCTTGTATCTGTCTCTGGAATTTATTTGCTGACTTCAGCCAAATTTAACTACAGAAGTGAAAATCTCAAAGTCGGCTAAATGTCAACAGATTTTGAGAAAAGCAGTTTTTGCAAAAAACTCAAGGAAATATATGGTTCTAGTGTCAGCACGGAAATTGTCAGATAACAAAGAATCCACAGAGGAGAGTGACTTTGTAAGTACCCTGGGAGAAAACTCTCAGTCACATCTTACATTCAATATAGAGATAGAAATCCGTAGAAACCTGTACTAAAGCAGAAACTGGGCTTCATTAATTCTGCAGCTTGCTCTGTAAACTGACAAAACTTCCTTCTTGTTAGATCAACTACCACTCCAACTCCAGAGAAATCTGTTTTCCAGTCATAGTATTGTAATACTGAAAAAAATGTGGAGTTTCAATTTCTGCACATCCTGATCAGTCTTATAAAAAGGCAGAAATCTTATCTGCCTTTTAAGCTGGAGCATATTTGATAGATTACAAGTGCAAAAAATGGTGCGCCCAATCCTCTAGGTAGCAAAGATGCCAGTATTGAGGCTGACTATTGCCAATAAAGATTTCATTAATGAAGACAAAATAAACCAAAAGCACTTTTTTTTTTTTCACTACAACAGGTGTGGTTTACCCTAATTGTATTCTAAGATGATTCAAGAGAAATTAACATTTCTGAAGTTACCTGCTTCAGCTCCCCTTACAAGAAGATAAACAGGTAGTCCATTAGATATGTCCTTTGTTGTGAAACACATGAATATCTAAAATGGCTATTGCTTTCCATTTTCTGCAGAGAAGGCCTAGGATTACTAGCTTAGTGATAGGCATCTGTTTTGAAAATGTTGGAATTTGGAGAGCTCTTACTACGGTAGTAACTAGAAAGCACTGTGAGTGAACTTCACATAGCTGAGGGGCTACCTTTTTAGTGAAAATACATAATTGAGATGAACTGAGACAGTTCTAACATACAGAGGCCTGCTAAAATAAGTTCTGGTGCTGAACTAGAAGCTTCTCTGAGTCATCTGAATATTCATGAAATTTCATGATCATTATTCATCTTTGCCTTTGTTCTGGCAGAGAGCATCATCTCTCTCACCTTATAGACTGGGTCTTTTGAACAGCATCATCTGATCAGCTTTTAAGGAGCCAGGAGTAGATACCCCAAAAATTTAGGAAATCAGTTGACTTCCTATAACTTGAAAAATAACCTCTCTCTTCAAACTCAAACTCATCAAGAGTGTACAAGAATAACTACAAAAGCCATGCTTTTTGAGATGTGCTTTTAATCATTCACAGAAAAATAAGCAGATTTGAAAAGGACCCAAGAGGCTGTGCACTTGTAAGAATACAAATTTGTGTTCTTATTTTGTGCACAAATAAATAGAGCACTGTCAAATTAATTAGAGAACAAACAGGAGGCAGTTACTGGGAAAAGTAAAGTTCAAAAGTAGTCAAGGAAGGTAAGAATGGTTCACAGTCCTTTTAGTTAATGATGCCAGGGGTTTTCTGCCTTCATTTTGATGTTAAGCTGATGGCTCTCTTGATCCGGTTCAGAGCGCTTGCCTTGTCATTTTCTTCATTGTTCTGCAGCTCATTAGACTTTGGCCTGCTGCATTCAGTGTCCTGACAGCTGCAGCTCTCCACGTAGACGTACTTGTGTGACATTGAGTGCCCACCGGGGCATCTCAGAACCACGTGCTTCTCAGTGGTCTGTGTTTCTCTGCAGCAGGAGCAGCTGTGGTCCATAGAATTGGCCTCAGCAGAGTATCTGTTAACAGGCAAAACAGCAACGTTACTCTGTGCCAGAAGTCAATGTACAGGAGAGAGTGAAATCAGGTACAGAACTCTTGTGAGAAGAGCTGCAGTTGTGGCTAATGGAAGTGTTAAGCTCTCTGACAGAACACTGATTATCAAATGCATAACCCAATCAGGGCAGTGTTAACATGAAGGGGAAGCAGTGGCTTTTTCTGTTCCTGTCTCACAGCAAAGTATTTTTTGCAGCCTTGTGTTCATCAGCTTCCTAAGCACCATTCCTAACCTGAAGAATCTGTCAATATCAGGCTATAAATTGTGACAACATCCTTCTTTTTCTTGTATTTGGAAGCAATCACAGCAAGACCCTGAGATGATCAGGAATTTCAAAATACTAATAAACTGCCTGGCTTCTCAGAGTTCCATGTGATACTAAAGATCAGTTTCATGTAAGGTACATTGTGGCAGACTTAGTGATAGGAAGTAAGTGACAGTTTCTTTGGAGAGTTAAACACTGTTTTTCCAGTGTTTTAGTAGCTCACTACCAGGTGTTCTACTAACCACTTCCTTATAGACACTTTTCAATATATTCTCTCATTTCAGAGAAAAATGTACAGTCAGGTTACTCTACTAACACCTCACCTAAAGCATTCATTTTCTCATTTCTTCTCTGTAAAAAAATTATGCATATTTGAATCTTCCCTTAAAAGATGTATATGTATTTTAGTTTAGGAGTTAACTATTGAAAAGCAGCTTTTCCACTTCCAGTTGTCAAGTCTGGCTGCTCTCTGGGCTCATTCTCATTACAGGAAATAAACCATGTTCTTTTGTGACAATTTCTAGCCTAGGTAATCTGACACAAAGCCAGCTCTTAGTGGATGAATAGGTCTTATCAGAGCTGTCTGAATCCAAAGACAATTTAATACACTTTCCTGCTTTGTATTATGACAAATCAACCGGTCAGTCACAGATTCCATTATTTTATGTCCTTGAATCAGTAAGCAGATAGTTCCAGGTCTTCTACCATTGTGTAGTCTACTATTTATTGTTCCTTTTAGATAAACAAGCTCAGTGTTACCAGGACTTAAATCTCATTGTCTGCTGAGTTTACTTACAGCGAGAAAGTTCCACATGTTCCTTCACATTCAGTCAAGTCGACTCTGTCCACGGAGCGGCAGCCACGGTAGACAATGAAGTCTTGTCTGTGGCGCACAGAGCACGGTGTGCGGCTGTCCAGAGGGGCACCTACAGGCAGAGAGCAGGAAATGCTTTCAGGGAAACAGATACAGAAATCCCTCGCACCCCAGCATTCCCTGGGCTTCACTAGTGTACTCAATTGCCTTCAGTGGTCTTTCTGCTGCAGCTTAAACTTCTCCAGAGAGACTGGACAGTGAAGGCTTGGAATGAAAAGTATCTATTTAAATACAAATTTATCTGGAAAATGGGCTGATTTAAGAGGACAATTCATTCTCTGTATTATTGATTCAGATACACTGGCATACTTACAGGTTCTGCAACAACCGTTAGGTAAGAATGAAATAGTTCCCTGAAAGAAAAAAGAAATAGAAAAAAATTACATTATATCATTTTTCTATATTGAATAGGCATTAAGGCAAAAAACTGAGGAGAGCAATTCATCAATGGCTGGAAATAACCAGTGAAAACTGTGACATTGGTCTAAATAAGGAAAGACATCATCCACTGCCCAACTTGAAATCTATCAATTTACAAAGGACTGTGAAAATAAAACCAATTTTTTGAAGGAAGTCTACAGTTAACATCATGAAATTTTTCCTCAGAAGCAATTCCAACAAATGGTTTCTCAGAGTCCTCTGTATTTGAATAGGTACTATGCAGATGTTACTGGCAGTCTACTGACTGAATAGCTTGTGTTTCTGTGACATCCAAGGAAACCTGGTTCTTGCTGAAACAGAGCTCCAAACAAAGCAGTCAGCAAAGATTCAGCATCTCAGTATTGACCAGTATTTTGGCTACTGAAAGAGAGCTACCAGTTATAAACCTTGAATTCCCACCCAGGTATCTTATTTTATACACTCTAAAGGGCTGTGCATAGATGCATCTGGAACTTTTGCCCTTAGGACTGAGAAATTATGACAAAAGGCCATCAGAGCTAGATTTTACTTTTGTTGTTAGCTAGATGGCTGAACTAAACTGAAGTAATCTATGTATGGAATAGAGGGTAAATTTTCCATTTTTACTTACAGGTTTGCAGCTGTCCTCATTGAATGCTGGACAGGTAATCTCAGATGTGGAAGCAATAAGCTGGTTGTGGACATCTACACAGCTATAAATGGTGCAGTTGTTGTGAGGATCATTTTTAAAGTCTCCAGGCTGCAAGTGAAATGCATAATGTAATAAGGAAAGCTGAAGGGAGCTCAGACAGAAATTTTCTTGCCCTCTCATAATGACTTTCTTCTTGTTTCCTAGTCAATTATTTTTAGGTTAAAAGCTATTTGAGATACAGATCATGACATGTATTGCAATATGCCATACTTGGAGAGAATTTCAGTTTATGATATTTTCCTTGAGAAAGAAAAATGTCTCTAAAGTACATAGAGTACCTTAACAAAATCATCCATGCCAATAGATTTTGCCTTCAAAAAGCTAGACTGTTTTATGTTAATTAAGAAAAACCCTAAGCCTTCATCCTACTAGGGCAATAGAATTATTTCATACGCAGGCTTTAATAGTGTTTTTCAGCATACAGAAATCATATAACATAGAAAAGCCCAAGCTTCCAGACACTGGAAGAAAAACCCTTCCAATTGTATTGGATTTCTCATTCCAGGAATGGCCTTACAGATAATTTTATTTCATGAGATCTACCCTCAGGTCAAAAAATTGTAGCTAGGTTTTGCGTTGGATGAGATTTTGAACTTTCAGGTGCAAACTAAAGCCTTGTTTCTGGCAAGGAGATGTTCCCTTTCTGGAACTGGGAACTTTACATATTTGGTGGAGAAAGAGAATACATAGAGTATACTTACACTCAAGATGAGTTCAGAATTGTCTGATGTGTGTATAATACACTTGGTCTGCACACATTTTCCACAGCATTCACCTTTCACTGGTTTAATTTCATATCCCTAAAAATTAAAATTAATTAATTAACTAAATTAATTAAAACCAAGAACACTATGATAGATGAATTTTTGAGAAATAAATGAAAACATACTAATCCATTAATTGATTACACTTTGAAGTGCACTCTGGATTTGTGCCTTTTTTGTGTTCCAACAAACTGAAGACAAGTAATAGAAGCTGGTTATAAATGGAATAAATTAAAGCACTAGAATAAATATGCATAATGATTAAATATCACTCCACATAGTGGTCTACAGAAATTTCCCAGCTAATTCTGCTGGTGTGAACGGAATGCTGACAGTTACACAGTGAATCTCAGGCAGTAGATTGCTCAAAGAACTGTTGATATCCATGCTGGAATTGGTCTCTGGGTTTCAACTGTCCTTTGCTTAATACCACTCATTGATCAAACAGATGTTCATACATATGGGAATTTTGGGGTCTTTTGTTTCTTTAACTTTGCCACTTACTGGTTGACAGTATGTGTTGCAGGGGACACGTTCACAGGAGATGATATTCAGTTGCGTGCTGACGTTAACATCATTTGTGCAGAAACAATTCTGACACTTGTCAACAAAGACTGAGGAGTTGGGCTACATATTTAAGGAAAAAAATCACATATTACTGAGATATTACATGTTTAACAGACATCTGTAAATGAAGCAATGGAAAAGGAAAAAAACTGTAAAGACAACTGGATAGCTATTTGGCTAGACATTTATGAAGGCAACATTTTAAGACTGAATATAATTTAATGTGTGTCATCACTGATGTCCTGTATAGCAATGACAAACTCTGATATTAAAAGAACAGGTACAATTACTAAACCCAAGAGAATTTATTAGAAATCTAGGTTTGGTTAGAATAATACTTATTTATATGTCTTTTAATTTTAACTGCAATAATGTGCTGACAGTAAATGTGGACTGACTTTTTTAAATTCCAGCACAGTTAGCCTAAATTCCTCTATGATACTGACATACATGTAGCTCTTCAATTTCATTCCTACACAGGAAACTTTTCAGAAGAGGTTTAGGCTGTGTGAAATTGATAAACTTCTGACAGAAATTTGAAAAATTCTAAAATATTTGTTGTACTGGTTAAACTTTTCCATAGCACTTCTGATCAAGTACACTAAGTGTTTTTTAAGCATTTTTAGAAGACCGTTGAAACAGGAACTTACCAAGAACTCAGCATTCTCGTGTACGCAAACCCCCTTGGGAACTGTTAATAAGCAAGGAGTTAGATGTTTAGATAGGAAAAAAGAATAAAAAATGTCTTCAACCCACTCTAACCAACATAATTTCTTCCACAATGAATGACAATTCATATGGTTATTCCCCAATTCTGGTATGAGATAGGATATGTATAAAGTATAAAAACTAATACTGCATGTGCAAGAAGGGACAAAGATTTGTCGCAAAATACACGGTCCATTTCATAGCCAAGAATGTCCTTGTTTCAGTTACCAAGAACTGTAAATCTGTCTTCTGCTGGGGATGCTTCTAGACACTTTTTGCTAGATTAAGCTGAAAGAATCATCCCAGTTAATTCTATAGCTGTTATTACTTGTATTTATAAGCAGGAAATTGAACTCGAGTCATTTGAGCTATATCTAATTTCCTATAGCTATAGCACTAATAGCCAATTTTAGTAGTAGTGCATTTGTAGAATCTGATTGTGTTTAAAACCTTTTTCAGCAGGCTATTGCAGACAGTCTCATTAAGGCTAATGCTAAATTATGTAATAAATAAAACTGTGAGGCTATTCATTATAATATGTTTCCAAGGGACTTACCACATTGGTATACAGGACAGCACTGACCACTGGGAATGTAAGAATGAACTTCGAATCCCAGTGAGCACTTGGGGGCTTTAGCTGTGCACAAGCTTGTATTGCATTCTGAGGAGAAAAAACAACAGCAAAAAAAAAAAAGAATAAGCCAGAAAGTACACTAAATCACAGCTATTAGAAATAAGCACTTATCAAAGCTCTTAGGATGAACTTTCCATTGGTAGGAAACAGTCCAGATTCTCTTCAGAGAAACAAATTGCAGATAGGGAACATGTTTTTCCTCATAAATCCAGGCACTGGATATTGGGTGCTGTATTAGTTTATGATTTTTTTTTTCTACTATGCAATTATCCTGTGTTGATAAAGTATCACCATTCTATGCAAAGAAGTAGAGAACTCCTACTCTCTCCAGGATTTTAGGCAACTGCTGGAAAATGAAAATCCATGGAGAATTCCATAATCTCTTTGCATTTTGCTTAAATAAAATGTGGCCCTGAAGACAAGAACTATAGCTTGAGGTATGTTGAGTCTCATAACTGTAAATTCAGTTGTACTGAATCACTGCAATATAAAAACGTATTTTCCCTAGCACTGGGCAAGTTGATTTTAAAAAGCATGAGAAAAGATACTATTTTGTGACTCCCTGCTATAGATCTCTGGTACTAAGGTAGCTCAGTCGTTTTTCCTTTCTATTTCCAAGAGGTATAGAAAAACTAGAAACAAAAGTATAAACTCACTGCAAGTGGAAAGAGGGCAGCAGGAGTCTTTAGGATTGACTTCAGTGACCTCATAGAAGCCTTCTCCATCACAGGTGACCTTCTTTTGTTCACATATGTGAGGCTTACACACAATGCCATGTTCACCTTCCAGGCAAATACAGTCCTGACAGTCCACTGTAAACTCTTCTCCAAACTGCCATTGAAAAACAATAAAATGAATGATTGCATAGTAACCAATTAAAAGGAACAGAAGTAAAATCAGGAATACAAAGTTTGGAAATGATAAAACAAGATTGTATCAGTGGAGATCACTCTCCTCTCCCCACCCAAACTTCTACTTGATATCCAAAAACATACAGCATCCTACCTCTCTTGGTATCATATCCACTCCGACACAGCCTGGAAAATACCAAAATAAATTTCCATTACCAGTGGAATATATAACAGGAGGCATCTCTACTATACATTGTATGAGCACTGCATACAGTCAAAACTATGTTGCATACATGTAAGAAAATGAAGAGGAAACAAACATGCATCCAAGTGAAGCAGTAAAACTTACCACAGGTTTTCACACAGACATCCACACCAGAGTCATACAGCATGGTTCCATTAGGACAGAAACAGCCTTCCACTTCTTTAGTTGATGTGTTGTTCTGTCCTCTGTGAGACAAAATGGACAGAGGAACACCATTAATATTGTAGGCACATACAGGAGGATTATACCAAATAACCTTTCACTGAAAATACAGTAGCAAATAATCTGCACATTTTTGATTGGAGGTTGTCGATGTCTTGTGTTTGATATAGTCAAACAACAGAAACAGTTCAGGCACCCAGATTTAGGGTCAACAGAACAGTGCTAATAAATTTGACAGTCATTTTAAGATGTGAGAGGAGGTTGATTTTTCACCTGTGCATTAGATATGACTGAATAGTTGTACAAGCTATAACTAACTGCAAAGGAATTTTTTACCTTGATTTGCAGGTCATCTCTTTAATAGGACCACATGCTCTGTATTCTTTACCTGGCGGACATTCGTGAGCTGGAATGGAAGAACAAAAAGGAGGAACAGCTCAGTAACAATATCATATAAAAGCCACGTGACCTTTTGCCAAGAGCTTAAACACTGTTTACTCATTTTCCTATGTATCCATGACAATCTTGAGAAGCAAAAAGGAAAAAAATCCCAGATAGACTCATGACTCTAAAAGGAATAATTTTGTGCAATTTAGTGACAGAGATATAGTGCTGTACTTTACACTAAGGTGATACGTCTTGATTACAATTTTTTCCCATAATTTCAGTCTCTTTTGCACAAGTTCTCAAAGGGGAATGTCTTCCTTCCCTTTGAGCTCTTACTACAGATTAAAACTCATGTACATGTCACAAAATAGAGAGTGATCTGCTGATGCCTGCCAAGCATAGAACTGCCTGCATACAAAAAAGTATGTACTGATACAGATGTTTCTGGCACAGCCAATACATGTATATTTTTGCAGGCTCATTCATCATTTCCATTGTTAAAAATGTTACCTGCAAAATTAATTAAAGAGAGCAGCTGCTGTGATTTATTGGTGCCTTCATTACTCAGAAAGCAGATAACATTACTGCTGAAACAGTTCCACATAATCTTCCTTAATAATTCTAGATGAATAACCACATACTTACAGCATACACCATTGGTGTGTTTTCTCCAGTCAATGCACATGCCTTGATCGGCACAGGTGGCAGCGTAGATCTGCAGACTTGAGCATTCCAGGTCTAGGTTGGGAAGTACACAGCTATCAAAAACACAGGCTGCGTAGTACTTTTCAGGTTGGACAAATGCATGGCATGGCTCGAACACACTAGAAACAGAAATATTTATCATTATTAGTTAGTGAATGATCCATACATGTTTCAATGTGCTTAACATGTTATGATGTGGCAACAGTGGATGTGGGAGATTAAGGAGATGTGGATGCAGACTATTGATGAGAGATTTGTGCTAAGAGCACTTATCCAGATAGTAACATTCCAATATATAAATAGTCTTCCCTCATCTACAAAACACTTAGACAGCAATGTTTGGAGTCCAGGAGCTGTATATTATTGGGTGCAACCATGTGTTATCTCTTTAAAGTGATTTTGATTTTTTTTTTCATTTTCAGTTCTGACATGGTGTTCTAAAAATTAAGATCTTTGTTTTCAGTTGGACTCTGTTTTTTACTAAGTAAAATGGAAAGAACATGGGACAAGGGAGGATAGAGAGTGTAGAAGAATGTGGGAACATCAACAAAGGTTAATGCGGCAGCCAGAGGGCTGAAAGAAACTGTAAGCAAAAAATAAAAGCCAGAAAAAGTGAAAGGAGTAGAAGCAAACCATAAAGATACAAGAAATGGAGCAATAGTTAGAAACACTTTCCATTGGTAAATTAATCCTAAAAGTTCCATTTGAATCAAAGACCAAAGGCTTGTAAAAGCAAGGGGAATGTTACCTTCCCAAAAGAAGCTCACAGATGGAAGATTCTTTGCAAGGCTGTATTGGTGTTGTGCTAGGTGAACCTGTAGGAACTAGGCCTGGAGAGCACTGTGGTTTGGATGGATCAACAACTTGCCAGTGATCTGCCATGGTTTCACAGTTTGCTGCAATGTTTCCATTTGGCAGCATGCAGTCATCTGCCGTGTTGTTATTGCAAGTACCTAAGGGTGGTAAGGGGAAAAATAATTCACTCACAGATTTGTTAGGAAATTCTATTCATCTTTGCAGCAGGGCTGTCATTGTGGTTTTCTGAGAGTGCAAAAATTGGAAGAGTAAGCCTTACCACACTGGCCCTGGGTGTTGTTGCCAAACAGGCTGTAGGGCATTCTGATAGAAAAGGACAAGCCATTGTAGGTCACATTCATTTTCAGCTCAGGAATTTCCACAACACGATTTATGCCTGATTCATAGATGCTTACACCAAACTTCTTATAAGGCAAAGCCACAAGCTGGTTGTTTACTGTCACCTAATAAATAAAGGAAAACAGAAAAGAAGCATAAATTTAGTTTGATTTTTTAAAACAATTGACTGTTCCTTTGTTTTGCAGAGAGAATGTAAAGGTAAATAATATCCTTTTAATTTGTAACAAATGTTCCTGTGTTCCTTTTCTTACTGGAAAGTCAAACTTTTCTTCTCTGAGCCACAAAAAGCCCATCAACCTCCGACAAATGAGGCTATAAATTCAAGGTTTAAACCAGCTAAATCCTAACACTCAACAGACTTACTAGAGTGACTATGGCATCAAGGAGTCCTCCTGAAAGTGGAATATAAAATTCTCCTAAATTCATATGGTATGAAGTTTTAGGTTTCTTGGCATAAAGGGCACATGCTTATAGGAAAATTAAATAACAGAAATAAGACTAAAACTGTATTACTTATTCAAACACCCTAGCCATGGTATACCTGTGAAACTAACACTACTACTTGCACTCAGCAATTGGAGATTTCTTTGCTTTAGAGAAAAAAAGAGGTCTAAATATTGTAAATTTTCAACAATATGTTGCAACCCAACTTGCAATATTCTCACACAGTAATGTACAAAAATAAACCAAACGGTAAAAAGCTACAAAAAGCCCCAAACACTTCTCACTAATTTTGAAGCCTAAAAACTCTGATATCACATTTTTCAATGGAATAAACATATAGCTGCCCTATTCTGAAAAATTAAAAAAGTGACACAAGTCAAAGCTACTAATGGTACTTTTAAAAAAATGCTTCAGGTCAGCACTTTATTGTTATGTCTACCTTACATTATCGCACCCCATTCCACATTGTTTTCCTTTGTTAGATTAATGCTAATTATAAATTATTTTATATCCTTAACTCTTAGCAATTTGTGCACACTTGTGTATTTAGGAGAGACCTGCAAAGATTTGAGATTAAAAAGACAAGAAGTTGTAGAATTTTTCTCCCCACTTTCAGAGTAAAAAAATGCTGTGAAGTGGTCCTTTGAAGTCCTTTGAAGCACTCCAGTTTTATAATCTAAACTGTTACTGAATCTAAAACACAGAAGAATCTTTTTTCCCCAGACCTTGTTAATATCATTATCCTGTTGATGCAGTATTAATATCCGAATCAAGAAATCAATGTTATCATTCTTTAGTACCTCTACTTGTAGAGTATTTGGTTGTGCTGTTGTTAGCCTCACTTCCTGAGTCTCGTGTCTCACGATGAGCGTTCGAGGACAGGACACTACATCCCGTACATCACAATGATAGTTATCAATGTAGACACCAAAGTTGTCGACTTTTTTATTGATCTCTTCCACAAGGACATATGTACAATTCCCTTGATAGCTGTAGTACAATCCATCAAAAGTCATGTAATGTGGATCTCCCCAGCCAGTGCAGTAGCCTAAAAAAAACATACAGCTAAGTTAGGCTCTTATGGCAACATACAAAATCATATCATACTACAAGCAAAATCTGTAGATGTGGGAAACACCTCTGTGAACTTTGGATGTTTTAATTTTAATAAAGTGTACATGTCAATGCATGAGCTCATTAGCTAGAAGTCATCATAAAAAACAGGCACTTTCAATGCACATTTCATCTGACATTAATGACATACAGCTGAGAATAGGATTAACTGTAACATAGATATATCTTTACCAATAGTCTGAACAAGTAACATATATATATATATATATATATAGGCATCTAGCCTATTGATGTCTGCATTTAGACATTTAAATCCTGCTTTGGGAGATCAATTTACTCTACTATCACAACAGTTACGTAGTAATAATGGCAACTTAAGCAAATGCCTCAATTAGCTAAAAAGAATCAACAGAGCACTCTACCCAACACCAGAATCACAGCCTTGCACGATACGTGGTCCCTGATAAATATTGTTGGTCTTGACAATAGTATTGTTTCCTCAGGAGATTAAATATTCAACAAAAATATACTTACAATCACACTCCCAGTGCCAACAGCATCCATCCTCATCAATGACTGGCACAGGAGACAGTCCATTGGCACACGTTGGTTTTGGAGGTGGATTGCAGATTACTGGAATCACCTGGACAATGTTGTCTTCTATACATATTGCCTTAGTGCAGTTACAGAGCCACCATGACTCACCTTGCTGTGTTTGAAAAGAGAGGGGGAGGGGGGAGATGGAGACAAACCTTAGGAAGCAGATAGACTGACAATAGTTATGCCTGAATATCTTCTTCAGTTTTCTAAAAAGCCATATGTCTATTGATAAGATTTCCCCCACCAGGAATCTGAAAATAGGATGGAAGTGCATCAGTCAGCACTATCTTGGTCTGCAAGATAAAACAACTGAGAGCTGCTAAGTGAAAAGCATTTTCACTTACAAAAGTCAAGTCAGTAAACCAAAATGGGAATCACCTTTTCTAGTTTCAGCTATCTAAGAAGTGAGATGTTTCATCTAATCTCATCACCTTAACACCCTCTTTACAGAACAGTGAAAGACACTGATCAATATGAATGGCTAATATATTTAATTCACTTGAATGCCTAGAACAGATTAATAGCTAAAGCTACAGTGAACGCAAATAGTTCAGAGAAAAATGACCAAGGTGATTATGTGCATGCATTGTGATTGCATGAGGTTTTTTTTTCTTCTACCAGTTTTTCATGCATGTATAATTTTTTATTCCTGCAGATCTACTGAGCAAGTTGGTAGGCATCTAAACTTTGAGGAGGCTTTAGAAATGCACAAGACACTAACTTGTCTGTGTCAGAGGCGGCGGATTAAAAAAAAAGAAAAAAAAGAAGTCTGAGTCAAATTTCACAAGCATTTGAATGCAGTGATCTGTTTCACAGTCCTCTCCTGAAACCAGTCTGTGAACAAGTATGATTCATTCCAAACTCAGACAAATTCAGCCCTGTGGATTTTTGTTGGGCTATGTAAACACACAAACAAGCAACTTTTACCCACTCTGGACTTATTCAAAAGCAGAAATAGAAAAGATAGCTTAGCACCATTTAGCTCTTGGTTTCCTCTTCATCAGAGCTATCCTACAACAAACACAGAACTGTGATCTAGCTCCTTGCAGAAAGCTTTCTAAAAATTATCCTCCAAGAGCTAATAGCAATATATAAACTATAAATCAAATATCATTAGAAGTCTTGCTGATGTCCAAGAAAACTAAACAAACAGAACAGACTGATGCTACCTTTCCTATCCAGATTAATGCCTACTCTAGGTTACTAACATTAAAGCTATGTGTCTACTCTCCATCCAAAGCACAATGAAAGCATGGAATCTACTCACCTCATAAGATTCATTAGGGAAAATAGTACAAGTTTTTTTAGTTGTTGGTATTAGACCTGTAGTTGTACTCGAGCCATTAACTGGAGGAGTTACACTGTGTGTAGAACTTCCTGTAGTGGTGACTGCAGTTGATGTAGCAGTAGGCCCAGATGTAGTAGTTGAGCCAGGGGGAAGGGTGGTGGAGGTGGTGGTTGCATTGACTGTGGTAAAAGTACTAGAGGTGGTTCCTGAAGTGGTGGTAAAGCTTTCTGTTGGAGTAGTACCAGAGGTGGTGGTCGACACAGGGCGGGTTGATGTTGTTGGAGTAGTAACAGTTGCAGAGGTTGTCCCTGGGGTACTTGTTTCTGTTCCTACTGTGGTGGTGGAGGGAGTGGACACTGACGGTGTGGGGCCTGAAGTGGTAGTCTTGGCAGTTGATCCTGTTCGAGTGAATGGAGTTGTTGATATTGGTAGTGTTCCTGTAGGGCTGCTTGGTCCCGAGGTTGTGGTGGTGCCAGGGCTGGAAGTGGTGGGAGATGATCCTGTTGGAGGGCTTGGGGTCCTGGTGGTAGTGGTCTCATAGACAGATGTTTCTGTTACTGGTGTAGTGCTGGTGGACCTTGAGGGTGTGGGGCCTGAAGTGGTTGTCTTGGTGGTTGATCCTGTTTCAGTGACTTCAGAGGTGGTAGCTGTCACTGGGCTTGTTGACACCGGTGATGTTGACTGTTGACTAGTGGTGCTTGCAGTAGGCGTACTTATTTCTGTCGTTCTTGTTGTTGGCAGTGGGGTAGCTGAAGGAGTAACTGGAGTGCTTGTCTCTGTCGGTATCTCTGGTGTCTCTTTAAGACAGAGAGAATACAGTATTTTAAGTAGGGAAATTGCATTTTCTTCCTAATGTCATCTCATTTTCTGCTAAGCATATGTAGCTCAACAAGCCTAAGCATAGGGTCTTTAGATAGAAATAAAGCAGAAATCGTTTATTAGTGGTTTTTGCATCACTGAGGGATTATTAACAAAATCTTCTACATCTTGCATAGGACACATCGATATAAACACTTTAACAATCAGTGTCAGAGGGAACATCTTCTGCAGTGTTAAAACTTTATATTGCAGAGAAGAGTTCAGCAGTCCTAGATCCAGGGAAATCCACTAAGTAGATCAATGAACTCTGATTAATACTGTATTGCTGTCATATTATATTGTATGGAAAGACCATTATTCCCTATGCTGCTTCACGTGGCACGTTCATACCACCATTGATTATGCTCAGAGTCATTTGATTCTACAGAAAATGAGCAGTTGCTGGAGCAGCCTGTGTTTCATTTCTAATGCCCAGGCCTTTAAGACTACTCACACACAAGCTATTTTGGGATGCTACGAACCCCAAATACACTTTCCTGCTTTTTCACATGGACAGTTTTCATTATGGTTGCTAATGGAGACTCCTTTAAAATAGTTTTTTATTAGTATATTAAAAAGTGTTCATGATTCTCACAGGCCAGCCTCAGAGCCATCTATATGTGTTTTTTTAGCAGAAGTGACATATGGTAGAGAGGGAAGCACTGTGTACCTAATAAGAGTGCAGTAATAATGCTAGAGGAATTAATAGACACTGGTTCTGCTCAGGCAGCCCACAAGGACAGTCCTTCAACAAAAATAAATTCATGTTTGGGTGAGGACAGGCAAGCTACTTCATATACTTCATCTCCGTTAAAAGAGGCAGATGAACTGGGACAGTAGGGGATATGACATTGCTGCTGAAAGGTTAGCTGGAATGTTTTTGAAATATAATCAACTACATTAGTGCAGAGTACAGAAACTAAAACACATTTTAAGCTCCCAAATAACCCTGCTTTCTAAAACCAGCAAAGGACATGAAATCCTGGGAATTACTTATTGCTTCTGTGGGTGGAGTCGTCGGAGTTTTGGTAATAATAATTTCAGGAGTTGAGATGGTAGATGGGTATCCAGGAACAGTGGTGGTTGTGCTCGGAGGGCTGGTAGTGGTGGTGCGAGTGTCCGGCGGCAAGGGAGTGGTTGTTGATTTTGATGTGCTCAGTGTGGATGGAGGTGTGCCTGTTAGAAACAGCAGGGATGGAGAAAACAGACAAAGGCACAAAGGCATCAGTGGGACTCAATAGGAACTGAACAGAAGCTGCACATGAAGCAGCCAGTACAGAGCTAGAGAGGTCAGCCTACGTGGCACCAGCCCTTCCTTTCTGGCCACAAAAAGCACAATATTTGAAATCCATGCACTTAGGCACATGTCAGCCAAAGACCACAGTTCACAGAAAGTCACAGTCTGCAGAGTGAAACTATTCCCTAAAGTATATTCATCCTTCTACATCTATAACAGCTGACAAGCATTAGCACTGACAGGGCAAAGGAACAGGAAAGACAGAGGAAGATCTACACAGTTATGTCAAATCAGTGCCTAAAATGCCAGTACAAAAAAAAAACCAAAGCCACGCCACAATTGCACATATGTCCAGTGCATATGTTCTGGCCAGCTGAGGGATGAGGTCAAGCAGCAAAAAAGGCAAGATTTCCCATCAGTTCGAGATCTCTGTAAGCTAGGCAGCAGCATGAAATTTCTCCTTGTAAGGTATTCTGTCAGAGAAGCCAAGACCTTTTCTACAGAATCCCAAAACCTTGTTCCTTCTTAAACAGCCAGTTGAAAGGCAAGTTTTAAGTAAAGACTGCTCCAGGGATGCTCTGCAGTTACACCCATCCCTGATCCCACTGAGAGGCACAATTTGAGATGCTCAAGTACTTTGAGAGCAGCCACGGGAAGGTAACAAAAAACAGCACAGGCCAGAGAATTACCTGGAGTTGGTGTGGTGGTGGTGTATGTTGGTGTTGGTGAGGATGTGCTTGAAGTAGTTGACATGGGTGTTGGTGATCCAGTAACAGTTGTGGTTGTGCTCAGAGGGCTGGTGGTGCTAAGAGTGGTTGTCGATTTTGGTGTGCTTGGTGTGGATGAAGATGGGACTGCTTGAAACAGTAGGGACAGAGAAAACAGACAAAGGCACAAATGCATGAGTGGGACTCAATGTGAACTGAACAGCAGCTGTGCATGAGGCAGGTGGCACAGAGCTAGAGAGGTCAGCTTAGAACAGCAATGGTCCCTGGCACCAGCCTTCCCATTCTCAGCGCAGAAAGGGACATCTGACATCTATGTACAGAGAGGGTCATGGGCCTCCTTTCCTAGTGATGAGATTGGAGATGGTGCTGGAAGGTGCTTTTCATAAAGTTAGAGAGACCTACCAGTATGGAAGAGATGAGGAGGAGTAATGCTTTGGATCTGGCTGGGGCTTTCTATCTCTGCCTTATTAATTAAACACACCACTAAATTCATGGAGTAAGAGCTGAGAGGAATCTGTAGTCCAGGAATGGATCATGCACCAGAACATGTTTCTGCCTGACCGTCATGTGATTTTTCCAATATCATCCTTATAAAGGACATGACAGAATACTAGTGGATCTCATAAGCCAAAGACCACAGTTCACCATAAGAGGTAGTATGTATCCAAAAGCATGGCAGGTGAATCCTTCCTTCCTACATCTATAACCACTGACAAGCATTAGCACAGATACAGCCAAGAAGGAGGAGAGAGGGAAAAAACTGTAAACAGCTGTGCCTAAAACAGTGCCTGAAATGTCAGTGCCAAAAGCAAAGTCATTGTCCAACTGCACATCATGGGTTCTATGGCTATATTCTGCCCAGCTGAAGGACATGGTCCAACAGCTGAAAAAGTAACATTTTCCATCAGTTCAACATCTGTCTTAGATGCTTCCATCAGATCAGTATCTGTCTTAGCTGCATAGCAAGATGAAATACCTCTTCAGAACACTGTTGCATCAAGAAAGACAAGACCTGCTTTCCAGGACCCTGAATCTTCACCACTTTTGAAATAGCCCAAATGAATTTTGGGCACAACTCATTTCCTGGAATGCCCAAAAGTTACACACATCCTTGAGCCCACACAGAGCCAGTCTCTTTATTAGGAGAGGAGGGAGAGTACAAATGGATGTACTCACAGACTTTCATTACTCCCATGGAAAGACCAAAAATGATGAAAGAATCAGAGAATTTTTTGTTGGTTTTGTGGTTAGAGGCAGAGTAGATTTTATGTGAATTACTAGCATTGGGAACATACTTTCAGGAGTTGAGACGGTTGTTGTTGATGCAGTAACAGTAGTTGTTGTTGTGCTCGGAGGGCTGGTGGTGGTGGTGCGAGTGTCCGGCGGCAAGGGAGTGGTTGTTGATTTTGGTGTGCTCAGTGTGGATGGAGGTGTGCCTGTTAGAAACAGCAAGGACACAGAAAACAAAGACACAAAGGCATCAGTGGGACTCAATAGGAACTGAAGAGAAGCTGCACATGAGGCAGCTGCCACAGGCCTAGAGAGGTCAGGCCACCCCTAGCACAGCAAAGATCCCTACCACGAGCACTTCCTTTCTGGCCCCAGAAAGCAAACTCCTTGAAATTTGGTATGCAGAAGGTCATGGCCCTCCTTTCCTAATAAAGAGACTGGGGATAGTGCTGGAAGGTGCTTCTCACAAAATCAAAAAGACCTACCAATAGGTAAGAGATAAGAAGGAGCAATGCTTTTGATCATGCTGGAGCTTTCTATCTCTGCCTCATTAGCTAGAACACCTCAATAAATCCTGGGGTAAGAGCTGAGAAGGGAAGCTATGATCAGGGAAGAAAGCAAGCACAGAAATATGTTCCTGGCTGATTGGCATGTGGTTTTCTGATACCAGGAATTCCCAGAGTATTAGTGAACCTCGTCAGGCAAAGACCACTGTTCACAGAAAGTCACAGTCTGCAGAGTGAAACTGTTTCCAAAAGCATGGAAGACATAGCAAAGGAGCAGGAGAGAAGGAAGAAAGTCTACACATCTGTGCCTAAAGATAGTTTGAAATGCAAGAGTCACAAAGTCAAGCCCCACTCCATTACACTCAATGTGTCCAGTGACGGCACTCTGGCCAGTTGAAACACAAAGTCCAACAGTAGCAAAAGCTACTAAGTCTTTGGGTCTTCTAAAACCAAGCTGAAGAGCCAGCTATGGGAAAAGGCTGCTTCAGGGGCTGTCCAGAAATTAAGCCATTCTTGATGCCATACAGAAACAAAAAAGATGTTCACAGACCCTCAGTACTTCCAAAGGCGAATAACATGAGACTACAAAACTTGGAAGTACCTGGAGTTGGTATGGAGGTGGTATATGTTGGTGTGGCAGAGGATGTGCTAGAAGTAGTTGAGGTGGGTGTTGGTGATCCAGTAACAGTTGTGGTTGTGGTTGGAGAAGTGCTGGTGGTGGTGGTGGTGGCGGGAGTCTCTGGTGAAGAGGGAGTGCTTGGCAATTCTGATGGAGTGGGTACTGTCCTCGGTGTGCCTGTTAGAAAGAGCAGGGACAGAGAAAACAAAGGCAAACAGGTATCAGTGGGACCCAATGTGAATTCAACAGAAGCTGCACATCAGGCAGCTGACACAGACATAGATCAGCCCACCCCTAGCACAGCAAAGGTTCCTAGCACCAGCCCTTCCTTTCTGGCCCCAGAAAGCAGAATCCTTAAAAGCCATGCACACACAGGGTCACAGATCTCCTTGCCTAGTGAAGATAATGGGGATAGTACTGGAAGGTGCTTCTCACCAAACCAGATTGATCTATCAACAGGGAAGACAGGATGAGGAGTAAGGCTTTTAATCTACTGAGATAGATGAGTTTTGAGGTTTCCCATCTCTGCCTTTTTACCTGAACACCACACTAACTCATGAAGCAAGAGCTGAGATGGGAATGTCTGGTCAGAGAAGGATGTATGCACAGTAGCAAGATGAGCAATGTCACCACAGGAGAGGAGAACATAGTCCCCTGTATCCTTGCTCCTTCTGGAACAACTAGCCCATTGGGTAAAAGCCATTTCAGGGGATACACTGCAATCAGCACAAGCTCAGATCCCATAGAGAGGCACAAATGGAGGTGCTCAGAGACCTTCAATTTCCCACAGCAAGGCAACACATGAGAGCACAGATCAGAGAAATACCTGGAGTTGGTGTGGTGGTGGTGGTGTATGTTGGTGTGGGCGTAGATGTGCTTGAAGTAGTTGACATGGGTGTTGTTGAGACAGGAACCATTATTGCTGTCTGTGAGGTGCTGCTGCTGCTGCTGGCAGTGGTGCTGGGGGGCAGCGTGGTGGTGGTGGTGGTGGTTGTTGGGGTGGTGGTAGGGGTGGTAGTGGTGGGAGTCTTCTCTGTTGTTGTCGTTGGAGTGGTTGTTGATATTGGAGGGGACACACTGCTCGTTGTGGTTGAAGCTGTGGAAGTTGTGGTGCTCGTGGTGCTTGGAGGTGAAAGACACTCTGGTCTGTTCGGGGTGCAGCAGACACTGATCTCGTAGTTGAGACAGACTGGCATCGGTACTATACCTCCTATCTGCTGATCTTTATTGTTACAGATGAGCCCTACGTCAACATCACATTCCACTTTCTGCCCTAAATCTGCAATGGGCGTGTTAGGGAATTTCTCTGCTCGGCATGAAATATTCTCAACTTTGGCACACTCCCAGGAGGGGTTGTTCTTCCAAATGTTCTCAAAGGTTTCGTAGTCACCACTGTCCTTGTTGGAACCGTCTGGGTAAGTCACATCAATCCAGTCAGACCAGATGCACTCACAGGCTGCGAGGTGACAAGAAGAAAAACAATTAGAAACAGACAGGACAGAGACAACAATGCAGGGCACCAGCTCACACACCGCTGGTGCTCTGGGCATCCCCTGCACTCAGTGGTGCCCCTCAGGCTGCTACTGCACTCAGCCAACACAGGCCAGAAGAAAGCTCAGTGTTATGGCCAGGCCTCTCTTTCTTGGCCCTACAACCCACTCCAGTCCCAAATCAAGACACAGGCGCTGATGAGTTTGGTGTGTGCCCCCCACAGCGGGGTCACATTGCTCTGTAGGAAATCTTGTGTACAAAAGCCACTCATATAAGACCTACACAGGAGGCAGAGCAGGGCTAAACAAATAGTCCTGCCACTCTCTCAGCTTCTTGGGCCATGCACACCATCTCAATATCTCATGGAGAAACCAACCATTGGGAAGGCACCCAACCACAGGGAAAGCAGGCACACAACACACGCTGCTGACAAAGCCTCAGCTGCTTCCCAGCAGCTCATGAATAGCTGGAGACAAGCACCAACAGGAACGCTGGTAGAATCCAGCTACCCAGAGCTTGTGTCTGTCAAAAGGCCCAGAATTTACAGCCATCTCTGATGCCATCCAGAGCCACAAACAGAGGTGCTCATGGACCGTTCCTACTCCTGCAGCTAGGCCAGAAATGACAACAGAGCCAGAGAACTATTTGTTGGCACTCCAGTGGGAGACACAGGGCTTTTGGAGGGAATTATTTGGTTTTGGAACGTACAGATAGTTGTGGGTGTAACAGGTGTTGTTGGTGTCGGTGATCTGCTGGTGGTGGTGGTAGTGGTGGTGGTGGTGGTGGTGGTTGTAGGGGTGGTGGTTGTGGTGGTGCTGGGAGTCTCTGGCGGCGTGGAAGTGGTTGGCAATTCCGGTGTAGGGGATGCTGTGCTCGGTGTGCCTGTTAGAAACAGCAGGGAGAGAGAAAACAGACAAAGGCACAAATGCATGAGTGGGATGCCATGTGAACAGAACAGGAGCTGTGCATGAGGCAGTTGCCACAGAGCTAGAGAGGTCAGCCCATCCTTTGCATTGCAAAGATCCCTAGGACCAGCCCTTCCTTTCTGGCCCCAGAAAGCAGAATCCTTAAAAGTCATGCATTTGCCAGGTCACAGCCCTCCTTGCCTAGTGAAGCTACTGGGGATAGTCTGGAAAGTGCTTCTCACCAAACCAGAGAGACCTACTAACAGGGAAGAGACGAGTAGGAGCAATGCTAATTTAATGTGTCTGGGGCCTTCTATCTCTGCCTCTTTACCTGAACACCTCACAAATCTCAGGAGTAAGAGCTGTGTGGTGGTGAATCCATGGTCAGAGATGGAAGAGTGAAGAGGAAGTTCCTGCCTAACTGTCATGAAATTTCCCCCTGGTGAAATGTTAGCCTGCTGAAGGGCCTCCCAGAGTTCTAGCAGATGTCGTCAGCAAAAGGCTACAGCTCGCAACAAGTGGAATTCTTCAGTGCAAAACTGTTCCAAATGCCTCCCAGTGAAATCCTTGCTTCTAAGATCTAGAACCATTGGCGATGACTTGCACTGACATGCCAAAGGAGGAGGAGAAAGGGAAGAAAGTCTGCCCAGTTGTTCCTAGAATGAGAGTGTCACAGACTAAAAAGCCCCACTCCAATTGCCCACCATGCATGGGTCCAGTGACTAGATTCTGGCCAGCTGAAGGACAAGGTCCAACAGCAGGAAAATCAAGAGTTTCCATCAGTTCAGCACCTGTCTAAGTTGGGCACCAGCATGAAAATTCTCCTGGGAGCCTTTTCAGTCGGGGAAGCACAGACCTTTACCCTAGCACCCCTAAATACTTGTTCTTCTAAACCAGCCAGCCAAAACAACAGCTTTGAGCACCGGGCTCTTTAGGGGATGAACAATAATTCCTCCAGTCGGCAATCCCATGGAGACAAATTAAATGAAGCACTAAGGCACCTTCATTTCTCCCATAGCAAAGGAACACATCAGAGGCTAGTCCAGAAAAGTACCTGGAGTTGGTGTGGTGGTGGTGTATGTTGGTGTGGGCGTGGATGTGCTTGAAGTAGTTGACATGGGTGTTGTTGAGACAGGAACCGTTGTGGTTGTGCTCGGAGGGCTGGGGGTGGTGCTGGGAGGCAGCGTAGTGGTGGTGCTGGTGGTAGTGGTGGTGGTTGTTGGGGTGGTGGTAGGGGTGGTAGTGGTGGGAGTCTTAGTGGTGGTGCTGGTGGTAGTGGGTGGTGGTGGTTGTTGGGGTGGTGGTAGGGGTGGTAGTGGTGGGAGTCTTCTCTGTTGTTGTCGTTGGAGTGGTTGTTGATATTGGAGGGGACACACTGCTCGTTGTGGTTGAAGCTGTGGAAGTTGTGGTGCTCGTGGTGCTTGGAGGTGAAAGACACTCTGGTCTGTTCGGGGTGCAGCAGACACTGATCTCGTAGTTGAGACAGACTGGCATCGGTACTATACCTCCTATCTGCTGATCTTTATTGTTACAGATGAGCCCTACGTCAACATCACATTCCACTTTCTGCCCTAAATCTGCAATGGGCGTGTTAGGGAATTTCTCTGCTCGGCATGAAATATTCTCAACTTTGGCACACTCCCAGGAGGGGTTGTTCTTCCAAATGTTCTCAAAGGTTTCGTAGTCACCACTGTCCTTGTTGGAACCGTCTGGGTAAGTCACATCAATCCAGTCAGACCAGATGCACTCACAGGCTGCGAGGTGACAAGAAGAAAAACAATTAGAAACAGACAGGACAGAGACAACAATGCAGGGCACCAGCTCACACACCGCTGGTGCTCTGGGCATCCCCTGCACTCAGTGGTGCCCCTCAGGCTGCTACTGCACTCAGCCAACACAGGCCAGAAGAAAGCTCAGTGTTATGGCCAGGCCTCTCTTTCTTGGCCCTACAACCCACTCCAGTCCCAAATCAAGACACAGGCGCTGATGAGTTTGGTGTGTGCCCCCCACAGCGGGGTCACATTGCTCTGTAGGAAATCTTGTGTACAAAAGCCACTCATATATAAGACCCACACAGGAGGCAGAGCAGGGCTAAACAAATAGTCCTGCCACTCTCCCAGCTTCTTGGGCCATGCACACCATCTCAATATCTCATGGAGAAACCAACCATTGGGAAGGCACCCAACCACAGGGAAAGCAGGCACACAACACACGCTGCTGACAAAGCCTCAGCTGCTTCCCAGCAGCTCATGAATAGCTGGAGACAAGCACCAACAGGAACGCTGGTAGAATCCAGCTACCCAGAGCTTGTGTCTGTCAAAAGGCCCAGAATTTACAGCCATCTCTGATGCCATCCAGAGCCACAAACAGAGGTGCTCATGGACCGTTCCTACTCCTGCAGCTAGGCCAGAAATGACAACAGAGCCAGAGAATTATTTGTTGGCACTCCAGTGGGAGACACAGGGCTTTTGGAGGGAATTATTTGGTTTTGGAACGTACGGATAGTTGTGGGTGTAACAGGTGTTGTTGGTGGTGGTGGTGGTGGTGGTGGTGGTTGTAGGGGTGGTGGTTGTGGTGGTGCTGGGAGTCTCTGGCGGCGTGGAAGTGGTTGGCAATTCCGGTGTAGGGGATGCTGTGCTCGGTGTGCCTGTTAGAAACAGCAGGGAGAGAGAAAACAGACAAAGGCACAAATGCATGAGTGGGATGCCATGTGAACAGAACAGGAGCTGTGCATGAGGCAGTTGCCACAGAGCTAGAGAGGTCAGCCCATCCTTTGCATTGCAAAGATCCCTAGGACCAGCCCTTCCTTTCTGGCCCCAGAAAGCAGAATCCTTAAAAGTCATGCACTTGCCAGGTCACAGCCCTCCTTGCCTAGTGAAGCTACTGGGGATAGTCTGGAAAGTGCTTCTCACCAAACCAGAGAGACCTACTAACAGGGAAGAGACAAGTAGGAGCAATGCTAATTTAATGTGTCTGGGGCCTTCTATCTCTGCCTCTTAACCTGAAAACCTCACAAATCTCAGGAGTAAGAGCTGTGTGGTGGTGAATCCATGGTCAGAGATGGAAGAGTGAAGAGGAAGTTCCTGCCTAACTGTCATGAAATTTCCCCCTGGTGGAATGTTAGCCTGCTGAAGGGCCTCCTAGAGTTCTAGCAGATGTCATCAGCAAAAGGCTACAGCTCGCAACAAGTGGAATTCTTCAGTGCAAAACTGTTCCAAATGCCTCCCAGTGAAATCCTTGCTTCTAAGATCTAGAACCATTGGCGATGACTTGCACTGACATGCCAAAGGAGGAGGAGAAAGGGAAGAAAGTCTGCCCAGTTGTTCCTAGAATGAGAGTGTCACAGACTAAAAAGCCCCACTCCAATTGCCCACCATGCATGGGTCCAGTGACTAGATTCTGGCCAGCTGAAGGACAAGGTCCAACAGCAGGAAAATCAAGAGTTTCCATCAGTTCAGCACCTGTCTTAGTCGAGCATGAATAGGAACTCAGAACTCTAGCTCTCTGTAAGTCAAGGGTTCCAGAAGGCATTGCAAAGGTCTCTAGGGTCAGCCCCCTTTCCCGCCCCAGAAAGCAGAATCCTTGACGTCCATGCATATAGAGTGTCAAGGGCTGTCTCTCCCTAGTGAAGTGATTAGGCATGGTGCTGGAAAGTGCTTCTCACAAAATCAAAAAGGAAATGTCAACCTGAAGAAGGATGCCTGCACAGCCCCGCCCAGAAAATTCCTCTATCAACAAAAGCTTGAAGCATGGCCTACTCTTTTCTCCACACCAGGGACTTCTGGCATATTTTCTCCGGCAGGGACTTAAGAGTTCAAACCCTCCTAAGTAAGACTTCCTTGCAGATCAACATTCTCTATGATTGTGACCTGCCTTTAGTAGCCAATATCCCTTTATTTCTTCAAAGGCAAAGTAAATTTTTTAGGTGTAGATGTTGAAATTACTAGAGTGAGGACTGATGGTGTATACTCACTTGTTGTGGAATGGATGTGTATAGGCGGGGTGATAATCTCTGTTGAAGTCGTGGTTGTGGGTATTGTTGTCTTGGTGGTGGTTGAAGCTTGTGATATAGTAGGTGTAATTGTAGACCCACAAGGAATTTCTTGCCACTCACAACAGTTTACTCTGATTTCATAATTATAGCAAAGTGGCCACATAGTTACATCTTGCTCATCATTTTTGCAGAAAAGCCCATATTTAACATTACACTCTACTTTCTGACCAAGATCATCTAAGCTCACATCAGGTTTATCCTTAGCCCTGCATTCAATTTCTTCAGGAGCTGTACATATCTTGTATCCATGTTTTCTTATTTCATCATATGTTTCATAGTCACCACCACCTTCTTCAGGTTTACTAACATCAAACCACTCAGTCCAATCACAGATTAGTCCAAAGCAAGGAGCTGCAGCAAAAGACAGAAATTTCAGACTTTACAGAGAACATCCTACAAAGATTCCTTTTTTGTTTTCTTCTGTTAAGAACTAAAGGACTGCATTGCAATTTGTCATCTTTCCAAAGAAAGGAGTTCTAAAATCAGTTCTGTATTATCAGGTCTTTAAATTAGATGTTTTACATCAAAATAAAATTATGAAGCTGAAGCCTTTAAAGATCTTTCTTCTCTCTATACTAATGGCACTTTTGAAATTATAAAAAAAAATTAATTTTTGTTTAAAATGAATATTTTTCTGTATTGATTGTCTTTCATTTACTCTTCCTTTAAATATTCCTTTGACATTTTTAACAACCTTGTTTTGCATTTATAACTTACTTGTAGTTACTGGATGGCTTGTAGTGGAAACTGAAATAGAACAAAAAGAGATTACTCTATCATTTCAAAATAAATATAATAGTATTTTTTTTTTTTTTGCTGACACCCTAACATTATTTCTACTATCCCATTAGGATATTCATATGTGAACATGTCCTTTTGAGAAATAGGAAGGCACCCTGTACATTTATACTTACAATTTCTTTCATGAGAAATGAATCAACTTAAAAGGCTAAAATTCTTTCTTAGTGTGGTATGATAAAAAAATCCATAAATATTGCTCTGTGTCAATTATAATCCCATATAATTGTACTTTCTATATTTAAAATATTTTCCTTAAAGAAAACAATTTTTAGATCACATCTGTATTGATGATTTACCTGTGGTAGTGGTGGTAAGAGTACTGGAAGGGAAGGAGGTTGAAATGGTTGTAGGCGAAGATGTTGGACAAGGATAGACTTCACCAGGAACTAGCGAACCATTTTCTGCACAGATGTATATTATACATATGTCACCATCCTGTACTTGTCCCACAACAGTACCCACTTCGTAACTTGTTCCATTGATGACACAAGGACACCCTGAAAGAAAGAGCTTTACTGTGCAATTTTTCTACTACCACGTAAGAGGCAGAGGCAAAATACTTATGGACAAGAGAGCATTTACATGAATAATGCATGTGTTTCAGAGCTCTACCTGGAGCTTAGATCTACTATATTGTGCTAATTTATCTTTACATTTAAAGCAACATTAGAACATGTTTAGAAATCAAGTCCTGAATAAAATGCCTGGTGGTACAGACTTAGAAAGGTGGTTTTAAAATGTTCTGAGAGAAATAATAATTTCAATTTACTATCTGACAATTTTATATTAATAACTACATGTTCAGGAAGTGCAAACTTATAGTGAAATACATTAGTTTGGGTATGGGACATAGGGAGAAAGACTGAAGGGACATGAGATAAAGGTTGAACCAGAAGTATTAACAGCAAGCTTCAATGAAACTGCTGCCAAATTTTCTTTAGTCACAACTTTCACTAGGACTGAAAAAAATTATTCTAAATCAATACTAAGTCTTTTGTAGAGCCAGGCAGAGTAGTTCTATATGGTTTTTTTGGTTTTTTCCTTCTGTTCCAGAAAAACCCAAATGCTATTTACCTGGGAGTGGTTTACACTGTATGGATCCTGATGGGACACAGACACTAAAAGAAAAATTTTCAAAAATTAAAATGTTGCTTATGTTTTATGACACCTCTTAGCAGAATCAGGAGCAGAGAAACATTGGTATTTGTCACTTGATCTTCATTCACACTACTGGATATTTTTCTGGGTATCTTTTTTAGTATTGCCTACCATTTTTCTTTCAAACTAAGTCACCACTTTCAGTACAGTTGCAGGTTGCAATAACAACTGTTTTACAGAGTGAACTTACAGCTAGATCAGATCATTCTCTGGTGACCATGTTGAGCTAGAGTAAGTGCTGTCATTGCTAACACTAAGCAAACAATTGTGACTCAATTTATCTCATTCTGGGCAGGAGTATTTCAGATTACAGTGATTTTGAAGTCCCAGTTTTAAGTGAGAATGCAAGGCAGAGTACCTCTCTTCCCAAAGAGTCCCAAGAATTGAAAGGTTCTTTTAGAAGTTCACCCAGGTTTCATGATATAATTTATGACAGTTGGCAGATGTAATTAGTGAATTTGCTAATACACTTCTTATACTAAGACTACCAACCTGAAATCTGGATTATTATGGGTATGGAAAATTATGAAATGCAAGAATATACCAGCTCTTCAGCTGAAGTTGCATCTCTACTTCTTTGAGGCCAAATAAAGTAAATGAGGGACTCAGCATACACAAATTATTTCCTGAATTACTGCAAGTAATTTTTATATACCATATTGTACAGTTTTCTTCTGTGGGTACTTCTTGCCCAGGTTGTATATGGGTTCCATCCTCGAGGTAACATCCACATTGGTCTTCAGTCACACATTCCTTTGTCTCTTCATTATAAATAGGCTTGTCCTTAGGGCATCTGGGGTAGCAACCTATTGATGATAGGTAGAACAGAATACAGGATGAAGAAAAAGTACAAAAAAGTACAAAAAGTTAACTCAGTAATATGTTATCTTCTGAAAGTAAATTATTCTCACTGAATGAACCATAGTGAAAGAAATAGAAGAAAGTAAAACTTCTCATTCAAATCAAAGTAAAACTCCCCATTCAAAACAAACCATGGACAATTAGTCTTTTCAAAAGACTTCAACAGTTCTCATTGATAATACTGAGGTGAGGAGGATTAAGTAAGAGGTTTTTATGAAAACTAGTGAAGTTTCTTTTTCTTAGTACAGTACCTTGGAGAAACCCCTAATTTAAACTCACTTCTATGGGCAGCTAATAATTTTAAGACAAAAATACACCCCAATTTTTGTATAGATCACTATATCAATAATAATCTTCTAAGGAATATGGAAGCAGATTCACTAACAAACAGGTTCATCACAACATTTCTTGGAACATTAGACCTTGTTTATATGCCTTGAATACGCCAAGTATCTCTGCCTCAAACTGATAATTTACCTGTGTTTTTCCTTACCCTTGGGCAGTGATCCAAACTTCACTGCAATGGATTAATTGTGTGTCAATTTTTATTCCATTTTTCATGTAAATACACTTAAAAATATTATTCTGTTATTATTATTGTATCTCCTTCCTCCAAATAACCTCTTATTAAGTCAAATTATTAATGACATGAAGTCCTCTTTATACTGTACTGGAATTCTAAATAGCCTTTAAACTGAAGAACCATGTAATTAACTGATACTTAAAAGTCATTTTATACTGCCAGACTGGACTTAAGATGTCCTAACAAAAATAGGTGTGCTCTTTATTTCTATTGAAATTTAACAACAAAAATAATTCAGAAAGATAATTTGCTACATATATTAATCTGCCTTCTGACACTTCCCAAATCTTTCTAATAATATAAGACAATTTATTTTAAAACACAGAGGTTTGTTGGGTTTTAAAAAATATTTTGATTAAGGATTTTTGTTGATTTTTTAGTAGAGTTTTTTGGTGGCATTTTGTTTTGTTTGGTTTTGTTTCTCTTGAGTTTTGGTTTGTTTGATTTTTTCCTTTTAATTTTTTTAATAGCAGTTCAAAGCAAAGTCAAACTCAAGGCATTTCTTACCAATCCCTAAACTGGAGTGCTTCCAGTCCAGACCAAAAAGACTTTATGGCTAAAAATACAGCTTTTTTCTCCAGCTTTACCATATAGAGACAGTACTTATGTTTACATAATGTAGTTACTACAGTAACTACAGTGCACAAGTATGCTTGTGAACTTGTACACTTGTACACTTGTACACTTTCCCATTCTGGGATCATTGCAGTCCTTTTAATGTGAAATTCCTGTTTCATTATCAACCACAAGGACTGTCACCTACTAATATCTCATCTACAAAGGAAACAGAATCTCCATTAAGAATCCAATATATAGCAGCATCCATGTGTCTGCTATGAAAGATATTTTCCAGTGTAAAGGTAAGTGGATGTTGCACACTAATCTAGTAAAGACAATATGATCTGGTACATAAAAAAAATGATCAGGGTAAAAATGCCCAACTCTCAGTGATTCGCTTCTTTGCCATATCAAATATTTTCCTGCTTTTGAAATACTTTTGCATGGGATTCAAAATAACCATGATGTAATAATATTGCATGTTCCAGGATATTATCCAAGCACAGACTTAGTTTTGTGTCTGACAGCAATGTAACGATCACCCATTGATGGTAATAAATAATAAATTACATTATAGGAAACATTTATGTAAGACTGGAGGCAAACTCCAGGAATTTATTACCTTCCAGCAGTGGTACTGTAAAGTTGGTGCTGACATTATTGATCATTCTGCAGGTTGTGATATTACTGCCACAAGGCTCATAGTGCCAGTCACACTCATTGCGAGGATTGTAGTAGTCACAGAATATTGCTGATGAGAAAAGAGAGAAGCTGATTAAAATCAAGGTTTCCAGAATGCAGTTCTGAGCAGGCCTTTAAAGGTACAAGCTACATCAATCTACAAGTTAAGCTGGCCAAATTTCTCTTGAGGTAAAAGACCTGGCCTTAAGCAGATTTACTCTGCTTGAACTTAGGATACTTCAAAACAATGGTACCCAAGATTTAAATTTTAAATATTCAAGCCACTGGGTAAAAATGTTTCAAATCGTAAAGAAAAATATTTTTAAAAAATTAGTTTAAAATAGAAGGTATATTTCTAAGAGTATTTTTCTTCCATAGCTACTAGCAAACTCCTAAATATTCTTCCATTTTATGCAAAATCATTCCATATTGCTATTTCACACAGGTTGGAAGTCCAAGAGGAAGCATATGAGCCATGATGATGATATGATCAAACGTAAATTTAGCTTAGATGACTAGAGACAGAGGAAGGCACTTTTACTATCTTATATATCAGACCTGAATGAAACTTATCATTTTTGTTTCACTGGCTTCTTGCACTTAAAAGCTCCAACTAGTCCAAATTCTGAATCTGAATGAAATTTTAAATTAAAAAAGTATTTATTTCTGCTACTTAAAATCTCAAAATTTTGATTAGAGCACGTTTGGGATAATATTAATTTGAGTACTATTTCACATTAATTTATGGTGTACTGATATGAGTACTAGCACCACTAATAGACACTGCTTAATATACATAACACCGATTAGGTTCAGTGCTAAAGCATGGAAGTGCTATATACTTTTTGCTAAAATCAAATTCTGAATAATTTTAAGAGCTGAGAGAAGAGAGAGATAGAGGAAGAGAAGAGAAGAGAAGAGAAGAGAAGAGAAGAGAAGAGAAGAGAAGAGAAGAGAAGAGAAGAGAAGAGAAGAGAAGAGAAGAGAAGAGAAGAGAAGAGAAGAGGAGAGAGAAGAGAAGCCAGGCTGAACAAGAGAGTTGAAATACACAAATTTACTAGCCCTGTTTGTTCCCTGATATGCTGAGAAAATATGTCACCAAGCAGCCATGAAAGCATGACCTTTCAGTGGCAGTGCTAATGATTTATCTGACTGGCTTTCTGACAGCAGCTAGAAAGATACAGTTGTGTTTATCTGTTACTCACGGCAGATATCAGGAGTTCTCCAGAAAACACAGGCCTCAGCCTTGATGCACTCTTGGGCGTACGCTGCAACTGCAGAGCAGAAGCACTCACAGTCTCCACCACTGTCACAAGAGCAGGCATCATGAACACAAGCTTCATAGAAAGGATGTGGGTTCACCTGTCAGGGAAAGAAATGATGCCCTAGTTCATCTCCAAATTAGTTTTCAAACTAATACATTTGAGATCTCTTGATATATGGGAATTGAGCTGGCCAGGAATGAGAGTGTGTCTAAGAGTCATCAAATCACAAACATTTACAAGCTTGAAGCTGCTCATTATGTTCTGGTGAATAATAGACTTAAAATAATATAGTTCCTTCATAAGTTGCTATGACTGAAAAAACAAAGTAAGAGTCCTTGGCAGTGCTCACATTTCCTAATAGAATTCCATTCTAGTGCTCCCAAAACCAAGTTGAATTGATGCCAGCAAAGTCTTATTTTCCAGCAACCTTTGCCAACCAAATGGTAAACAATGTCAGAAAGGCTGCATTCACAGCAAATATGAAGCATATAATTTTGTGCCTGTCAGTTTTTGGAGTTTATCCAATGACACATTAAAAAAAGCTCTTTTTTTGGGTTTTTTGGGGGGTTTTTTGGTGTTTTTTTGTTTGTTTGTTTGTTTTGGTTCTTTTTTTCTGTTTGAGTCTGCAAGAGGAGAAACTTAGACTGGATTTTTGCTGCTGAAGTAAACCATGTGGAAACATATAGAGAATTCATTAAATTAATAATTGCTTGTGACTTTTCCACTGTGAGTTGGGAGCAAACTGTTGTTAGTATTATCATACATCAGAAAAGATATGAGAAATAAAGAGAAGTGCTCTCTGTGCACTGTACTCTGGAAGCTGTGGGTTGTCACAATGTTTGCTGTGGCAATTCAGAGGCACAGTACCAGTAGCTGTCTGTCGAAATTATGTGATGTCAGTGGTGCCTAAGAAGATTGTTTTGTGGATTGAATACTACAAGAAGTAGTAGCCTCTTCAACAGCCACCTTTCATGTTTAGTATGAATTTCCATCCAGAGATAGGTCTGATAGGATGATTGTAGTCCTTCAGTACTTGTAATACTGACTGTCTCTCAGCAAGAGATGGTGCTACTACAGTACACACAGACCTGTTCAGGATACATTTCTGAAGCTAACTTGCAGAGTAGCAGTGAAACTGATGAATATGGCTTTGTACAACTGGGGCTACCACCACCACTGACACAGGCCCATTGCCACAGAGATGCAGACTACTTTGACCGAGGCCACATGAAATGTGCTGACACCTATAGCTGTACTGAAGACTTAACTGAAGATCACTCTATTTAACTATCTCTTTATTCATTTCTGATGGTCTTTTTGGTTCTGCATTATCAGAAATGCCTTGTGCTGTCCCATCACCTACTGTCTTCTACAAACCTTGGAGTGACAAATTTTGAAGACTTCACTCTGGATGATGCTGCATTCTTTCTCTGCCCAGGACTTCCGGTGTGGTTTCAGATCACAGGGCTTAATCTCTTCTGTGACATCTGGGCACATGGGAGATTGTTTCCAGGAATTTCCAAAATCCAGAGGATTAGTCTCCTGCAGTCCACTCCTTGTTGTAAAGTCATTGTTTGCCTTGTCATCAAAGTTGCCACACAGACCACACACTTTGCCCTGGAAAAGAAAATTGAGTTTTTAAATATACCATGGAAGTGAGAAACAGGCTTGGTAAAATAAGAGCAAAACATTGACATGAAAAATGACAAATGACTGTCTGTGTAAAGGACAACTTTCATCTTTACTGTCAAATCATTTGTACTGAAAATAAATCTTTATTTGTCTGTCCTCAGCAAATTATTCAACTGCCATGTCTTCTCTCCTTGAAATCAATTATATCTAGTGTATTTCCATATCTCTATTTCCATATTCAACTTAAAATATTAAAGGGTGCCCAAGCCTCTTACAGCTTACAGAAAAGAATTATTTATTCCCCATTCTTCTCAATTTATCATAACTCACCTATTAATTAAGGTAATTAATTTCTGCTGAAAGCTGTTTTTATTAAAAGTTTCTAGCATAATGAGCACCATTTCTTCATTCATGGAAAAGAAATTACAGGGACCCATTTTTCTTGAAAGAAAATGTATCAATCTACCCTCAATGGTGAATTCTTGGTAGTGTTATTTAAGGTCCACCAGTCCCCTCAAGAAACAGTATGTCACTGTTTGTACAATGCCTCAATATTCTCCAATTCAGCATGCTGAATTTCAAGAACCAGAACCATGGCCATACATGGTATAGGGAGTTTGGTTTTAACACAGGGCTGAGATTGCATGTAGGTTTCGAAGTACATGTACAGTCAGTTCACATCCCCTAAATTATTCTGGATGATTGGCTATCAATACTCACAAACTCAGGAGTATTCCCCAAGATGTTTATCTCTATTGGAATAACATCTGATGTGTTCTGTGCAATGCATTGTGATAGACTGTAAGAAACCCCAGAAACACTTCTGCAAGCTGTGATGATAATAATACAGGCTAATCATCAGCGCACAGAGGATATAGGAATGGATGTAGACATGGAGTCAGAATAAAAGCACATTTACATTTCCTTGTCTATCCATAATACTACTTCAGAAAAAGACAGAAAGGCACTAACTTTGTAATCAGGGCTCAGCTTGATGAAAACAGTAGTCTTCTTGTCCCAGATCAGCATCACACCGTTGCTAGCCTCAATAACCAGGTACAGGCCGACTGTCCTGTTCCAATACTGCACATCATCACCAACGTCTCGCTGAATTTCTTTGTACTCTTTGTTCTCCAATTTCAGTTCAGTTTTCTGAAAGATAAAAGAGAGAAGTATTATAACACTAACTTCTATGACGAGATAAAATATTAGATACTTGTAACAATGCAACTTATTCTGAAACCAGTAGCTCAAACTCTGAGATGACTTTCAAGATGGAGAATAATTTGATAGGGCCTCTAATGCTTGTTACAGATGCTTTTAGGGGCATGATTTTGGAACACTATATTTTTGGTAATACTCGATTACTGATTTGTGCTGACTATGATCACTCACCCCTAGGAACATTTTGATAGCCTTTGAGCATGTGACTCCTGTAGTTCCACAGGGGACATTCTCTGTGATGATACTGAATGAGCCGCTGGAATTTTTGGCACCACAGAAGTCCTATTGAAAAAGAAAAAAAAAATTAAAAAAAGTAAAGAACATGAGAAATGAAGTAGCATATTTCTCATAGTTCACTCTCATAAAAACTGAAATAATTTAAATCTTCACAATGTATAAATAGTTACTGCTCCTTTAAATGTGAGATCCTACACACACATATTTTTACAGATGCACAACCATATATGTACACTTCTATGCATACATATAAACAGTTAACACAGTCTCAGCCTAGTAAAAAAGAATCCACATTCACACAGCTTGCCTGCACTGAAAATACACAATTTATCCTGGCAGAATGTGTGAATACCTTGGGACCAACAATGGCAGGCAATAAGGAATGACAAAATCAAAAAGGAAAGTAGATTTTTCAAGGCAATCAAATTCCTTTGCAGCCCTCCTGATGAGAATTACCTGAGTAGCCACATATTCACAGCTCCCATCAAAGTCATAGAATTTCCCATCGAAAGTGTTATAATGGCCACTTCCATATATCATACAAGTCCCATAGCACACATCATCAGTGCATTCCCAAACCCCTTTCTGGCAGGTGCTAGAAGAGAGCAGAGAAGTTGAATTTTCAGACATTGCCAAGAGTGTGCAGTTTGAAAAACTGCAGAACAAACCAAGCAGCTGACTGATATAACATTAATAATGTACAAAATATCCAAGCTTCAACTTCAATTGTTTAGCCTGTTTTTAAGCCTATAACATGATTTTTACTCTGTTGAGCTACAATCTTTAGATCTGATAGCACTTATTTTTAAAAAATAAGGGAGTTTTCCCAACAAGAGATGCCTACTGTAAACAGAGGTAACTCCTACTCCCATACGTTCATCAGAATCTGTATTTTCAAAGATAGCAATAAGTATTCCTCAAAATTAAGGATGATACTTCCAGCTTTTGCAGCTACTACTAGACAGGACTATGAATACACTGCATAGAATATATTTGAGAAGAGAGTATTCACTTATAACCCACCAGGTATTGCAGTCCACTTTTATCTTGCCTCCAGAAGAATACCACTCATTGTTATGAATGCATGGGCAATCTTTTTGCTCAACACAGCCCCCTCTGCCATCATCAAATAGACCTTCAGGACACACACAGCCTGAGACACACTCTGTCTGGAACTAAGGAATATAAGGAGAAATGGTTATCTTATGACAAAGCACTGCATCTTAATTCCACTTCTTCACAAGCACTCTTTAAATAAACTCTGTTTACAACCACACAGTCTAATATTGATTAGTTTTATAAGGTTGGTTTTTTTCTAGGTTTCTAATGTTTTTCTTTTATTTTTTGATTGTCTAAGAACCCAAATTCTTTTTCAGTTGGAAATGATGACTCTACTAAAGGCAGTAAAAAGTAAGAGGAGAGGGAAACCATAAGTGGAATCATTGTGAAAATGGCAACAGATTAATATCATGGGGGAGGAAAGAAGGGTAGATTAAACCAAAGAGAAATAAATGGTTAGTTACAACTGTATTTGCTGTGTAGCACCATGTGTAAAGAATACAGAATAAACAAAGCAAGACATGAAGAAAAGCTGAATACTTACATGATCAGTTTGAGGAGTATGACAGCTAAGTTGTAGAGGTGTTTGTGACGTCCACTTTGAGGATGCATTGCAGTCAAAGTATGTCTTGTTGGAAGAACATTCTTTTCCACCTGAAAGGTACATTGTTGTTTTAGATCAATCAAGACAATGCAAAAGTAATGTGAGTGAAAGGTGCTAGTTCCTGAGACAGAAATCTCAGTTTATGAGATTTCTTATGAGAAAAGTAGGCTCATTGAAGAGAGAATAAAGTGAAAATGTGTTACTGTTTTACATAAAGAGAAAAAAACACACAAAACAAGTAAATGGAAAATTCAAAAGGGAAGTAGGTTTGGGTTGGGAGGTTCGTCATGGGTTTTATTCTAGTTTAGTTTATAGAATGTCACTTACTTCTCATTCTTATTTTCACTGAAGTGCACTGGATCTTTGCATTTCGGCAAACACTAGAAAAGTGAAGTAAGTAGAAATTTAAAAAAAAAGCAAGGTCAAGATCTTAAATTTAAGTCTAAGGATTTGTTTATATAAATTTGAAAGCCTTATTAACACTGCAGTTTCAGAATAACATTTATCTGTGAAGGCCAGTACTCACACCTCCAAAGCAAGTTGCACATCTCAATTATTGATACATTGCATTGCAACAGGATAATGCTTTGCTCAGCAAAAAGATGCTGTGAAATGCATTAAAAATACCCACTAAAGTACAAAAAAACCTAAGCACCTTACACCTAATAAGCAATTTTAAAGGGCTTTTTCTCCACAAACAAGAAGCCAAAATAAAACATACCAGCGTTCTCCATCTTTTGTGAAATATTCACCAGGTTCCAGGTATGATCCCTTGTAATAACACGGGCACTGGGAGATGGGCACACAGTTATCATGCTTATCCAAGTACGTATTGGGTGGGCAGCCACAGCCATCCACAGGAGCAAAGTCTTGCAAGCAATACTTTTCACCATCGGCAAGGGAACGACAGGTTTGCTGGCACATTGTAAGATTGTAAAGGAAGACTTGATTTCCTGGGCAAGAAGATACTTCACTGCCTGGAGGGGAAAAAAAACAAACTTATAAATAAAGAATGCAGGATAGACAATTTGACATTGACATTTCCATTTTGGTTTCTTTGGCTGTGCTGAATGTAGTGATAAAAACATTCCCTTAGACATTATTAAAGTACAAAATTATCAGAAGTTACAAGTAACACTAATCTAATTTTACCAGTTGAAGACTTAATTTTAACTGCTACTAATAGTTTCTACTTTCATACCCTTACTTATTTCACATACTGATAATCAGATACAGAGCACAATACAATAAACTTCCAGTCTCAAACATACTGAATTGTTGATGAAAAGCAAGCATGATCAGAAAGAAAGACAGCGATAAACAAATGCATCGTAAAAGCCCTGATGGCTGGGATTCCATTAGTAAATGGAATTATAATAGAAAGACTGGGGAAAGAAGGTGAAAGTTAAAAATATTGATTTCTACTTTTAAGTATAAAACTTTCAAATTACATCTGAAGAATATAACATGAATTAGTAAACTTTATCAGCATTGTCCTTTTTAGGTCCCTTAGACATTTCTAAGATACTCCAAATCCCTTAACAGTGAGATCGCTGACAACCAAATTCAGAGAGAGCCTCTTATTTCTCATGGTTAATTATTTCTATAGGGATTACTGTTCCACTACTTACTGCAGACACTCTTTCTCCAGTCTCCCAGTATGATCCCTTTGAAAGCACAGGCTCTTGAGTAAGAGGACAGAGCAGCACACAGACATTCTTCATTGTCTTCACAGAGGCAGGTGTCATATTTACATTTCTGATAAAAAAGAACAAAAGGGTCTTTAAGTCATTAAATCAATGGGCAATTGCAACTTGATTGCTACAAAATGTCCTGTTTTCCTGATGTTGTTTGTATTAATTCCCATGACCAGAGAACAATGGAAGGAATAGAGAAAGACCAGAAAGTTAAAGTGCTGCTTCATTTAATATACAATGAAAATATTTGGATGTTCATTCTAACCTAAGCCAAGCCTCTTGAATCTTTAAAAAGTAGCTAGCCTCCTAAGAGCACCTTTTTCAAAGGATATTAATACCATTTGTTCTCGGTTACTAATTAGAAATGCAGAGATCCACAAAAACTAGAATAATAAAGGCAAAAGATTAACCAGGTCTATGAAGACGTTAAGAAAGTTTGAGCTTACACTGACTTCCAAGTATAAGCAATGATTTTGGAATTCCTTTTCCTCAGGTAAGCCTCACTTACTCATCAACAGAGATGAGCATGGAGAAAAAGAATTCATGGAGATTCTGGCATGAAAATGATTTGGTGTTACATTCCAACCACATACTGGTTGGAATGTTCTCCTCAACTTTACAGAAACTAATGTTTAAGGGTAGGCTCAGACTGTGCACAAGTGCAACTCTTGAATCTTCTTTTCAGTCCAAATATCCAAGATAATAAAAATGTACATGAAACACAAAACATAAGAAAGCAAAAGAAAAAAATGTACATTTTTTATTCAGCAGCAGCCCATAAGGATCTCATCATATTAGATACTTTGGATGCTATGCTGCTTGAATCGGTCAATGCAGAAACTTCAGCATCTCTTATGGACAAGCTACCCACTGATATTTCAAATGTTCAAACAATGATAAATGTCTGCACTTAACTATCTGAAATAATGTAGTACTAAAAGAACGCAGAATTACAGTACCTTATAGTATTCTGAAGGATCAATGGCTAAGTGACATCTTGCAAAAGGACCCTTTGGGTTTCTCAGCAAAGAGCACCAATGCTCAGCATAATTTGCTGAAAAAAAAAAAGATAAATTCATCACCTTTCCTTATCTTCTTTGTGCCAATCCTACTTATGCTGACACATAAATGCAGTGCAACAATACAAATGAGAGAACTGTGTGCATTTTGGGTAGTGGAGAAACTACATGCAATCACCATACATATACTTCTAATCTTTGATTCAGAGACATGCAATCATAAAATCAAAAATTGCACCATACTTTTGCAACTTGTACACATGGAATTGTGACAGCTTCTTCCATTTGGGGACCATAAAGCTGAGTTAAACATAAATCCTTATGTTTAATGGTAGATAATGGTAGGAGATACAACCTGACTTCGCAGATAAGACAAATTAGTTTTTTTAGAAAAACAGATTGTTTTTCTCATTCTTCCACCCAAGGATTCTTTTACAATTACCCCTTAAATATTCACTTTAGTTTGATGAAGTGTTTGTATGTATACCTACTTGCATATATTAATGATTAATTTTACAGTCCTGTAAAAAAATCTTCAATGCCCCACTACAACTCTTACACAGCTGTTGCAGTAACACATAGCAGGCACTGCTCATCCTGGCAGAAGCCAACCATCTGACTTATTAAATGTGCTTACCACTTTCAATGCTGAGACTGCAGGGATCTTCCAGCTTTTCTGCCTGGTCTGTGCAGGTGGACTGAGCCTTCCATGTGTTAGCAAAGGCAGATCCTGTAGCCTCAATCAGCCCACTAGTTGTTCTAAAGTCGTCACCTTCCATTCCATTGAAGTTTCCACAAAGACCTATTTGAGAACAAGGTAAAAATTTCACATAAGCATTACTTATTCCATACTATATCTGTGCTTCAAGAGATTACTACCCTAACCCATATTTTTTATGCTTTCTGATGATATTGAAACCACAAAATACAACAAAAAACTGGTTTTGTTGATAGTTAAAATTTAAACTGAATACAAAAGTAAGGAATATTCTAAAAAAAATCTATGTTCTGGCACCAGAGTGATAGGTAATTTCAATATCAAAAAATAAAAACCCATTTCTAGTCTGCTTGATTCAATTTTCTTTCAGTTTTCTCCCCTTGAATCAACAAGTAGCATGAGTAATCACTCATAAAGAGTGATTATTCAGCTGTGAAACAGCACAGCTTTGCTTCACATTTGCATAGATACTTGCCTTGAAGTTTTCCTTTAACTGATTGATCCACAGTCACAAACAGCTGCATGACTTGAAACAGCTGGATCTGCATCTGAAGCCCAAAAGAAGTTTGTACAACAAGGTAGCTGGAAGATGGCTTGAATACTGAGAAGCTGGCTGAAAAACAAAATATGAACTGTTGTAGTAAACAGACACACAGGCTGCCAAAAGCCAAAGCACTTCTTATTAGATTCTCATGTATCACCCAGTATGAAATCTCTGATACCAGGATCAAATTAATATTTATTTTCCTTTAAAAATCACTGACCAACTAGATGTGATGCTGGTCCTCACAAACTTAACAAGTTTATTTCTTATATTGATTGATCTCTGGGATCAGAACCAAATGGGCAAGTCCACACCATGTAACCAGGTTTGGAAAGTGCTAAATACCTCTCTTCCACTTTTGCCTCTGTAAAAATACATCCCTACATGAGAAGTCAGGTGTGTGACACTTGACATACAAGGCTGTGTCCCTTACCTGACACATGAGGCACATTCACTGTCATCTCATTCAGGAGCACGCTGCCATCTGATCTGAAAACCACCACCTGTGTAACGGCAAACAGAATCAATGAGGTTTCAGGGACTGAGGAAAAGGAACAAATACAATGAAAATTAACAGGAAGTGCATCTGACACATTTAGGCTTCATCTAGAACTCCAAATTTTTGAAAGGAAAAATCTATCTGAAAATTCAACCTGGAAGCAGCCCTAGAGGGTATATGTAAGGTATTGTCTTGCTATTCAGTGTTTCTCTTACATCTGCCTAAAGAATTCACAGCAATAATGAAAGGAAACACTCATTTATATTGGGAACTTTGGTTTCAGTAAGTAAAAGAAAATATTAGGTCTTCAGGATCTGTAGCAAGTTCTTATTCCTTATTAAAGCATGTGCTACAGCTTCTGTGTGATGGTTAATATGATTCTGACATGGTAGGAAAGCAGTTTATTAAACTTCCTCAGATGTACTTCCTACTCTGTACATATAAAAACGTAAAATTATTGGATCTTAATTTGGTTTTCTTATGTTCTATTAATGCTGGCAAGAACAAGGAAATCCATATATATGTAAAGAAAATCATGTGTATATGTATGTAAATTATGTATAGAGATAGTCTATGTATTCTCATAAACAAAGAATACTAAAGTGAATATTTGCGAAGGTTGGATTGTATCACCATTCGAAGACAGTCTTTTTCTTTTGACAAAGACTCAATTAGGTCTATAAAATTACATCTGAATTAAGAAAAAAACTATGAGGGAGAGAAGAATGCTACTCTTCTCTCCAGACACCTGGAATTTTGTGAGAATAATCATATTGCACAGAGCAGAGGAAAGAGGAGGGGGAAATGTCAGTTGTTTTGTGTCTTATCTTTTCTTAAGTTTAGGTTTATTTTGAATTCTCAAGGCAGAAACCTGAGCTGTTTGTCAGCCTGCCTGAGGTTCCTTATCTCTCCACAGTAATGACTCCAGAAGAAAAAAGTATTCACCCACATTAAGGGAAATACGCTAATTTTCAACATATCTAGCAGAATCCACAGAACAGCACTTACATTCTTTTTGTTATCCACTAACAGCACAACATTCTTCAAGCAGGTCTGTTTGTCTGTGGAACCACAGGGAGCCAGCTCTGCCAGGAGAGCATAACTTTCATTTGCAGTATCCTACAGTCACAGGGAAAGAAGTTTCCATTAGTCAAATTAAAAATCTCATGAGATGATTTCCACAACAAAGACTAAATTCATCAGTCATATTATAATCTTCGCTCTAGAAGATTTTCCTCATTCTCTAGGAGAATGGACACCAGATATTTTAGGGATGAATGAAACAGCTGCCTACTTCTTTTCCCTACCTGACTTTGACTCAGAAATAGGTACTACAGAAGTGGCAAAGAGTGTCTAATCCTGACACCTTTTGACTTCTTAAATACAAAGGACTCCACTGGATAATGACAGCATAGGCAGTCTTCTATTTCACTGAGTTAATCAACCATCACAGTAAGTCCCCAGCTTCCCCTTAGGGCTATTACAGCTAAATCCCAAATTTTCTAGTACAACTTCCAGCATTTCTGCTTTCCTTGCCTTATGGAAGTGGCCTTATGGAATGTGCTTCATTCTACAAGAGAACAGCCCCACAGTACACAGTACCTTGGCCAACACATAGTAGCAGTCTCCATGGAAGGTGTACTTCTTCCCATCAAAGGTGGTAATATGGGAACCTCCTTCCACTGAGCATGTGCCTGGGCAGGGTAAATCTTTGCAGGTCCATCTGCCTGAATTACAGGTGCTATAAACACACAAATTATACAAAAAATGCTTGTAGTTGTTACAGGAGCTGGCATCACTGAAAGTATCTGTATATCTGGCAACCAGCAAGCTATTCCCAGGTGCTTTAGAACTGTGGCCTTGACCATTTCCTTGAGATTTTCCCTCTGACATATGCCATAGAATCAAGAAAACTTTTCAGAAATTTTGTTCTATAGACATGTAACATAAACATCAAATTCAGAGTGTTTTCAGGCCATCTGTTATGACCAACTGGTAATTTGAAAAATGCAAACCCATTTACAATCATTCAAAGACAAATGTAAAACAACCAGGATCCTTACCATTCTTCACATTCTTTGGAAATGCTTTCTCCAGGTGCATACGCCTTTCCACCATGTTTGCAGTGGCACTGGCTAACAGGGATGCAGCCTTTTTCACTGATATCATCATACACAGTTCCTATAAAACACAACATTAAATATTGCAGCTCTTTTTCAAATAAGCAATTTCCACAGAGGATAAACTCTAATTTTCCACACAGGCTGAGTTTATCTAAATTGTGAAGAATACTGTCTCTATTTTTTGTAAATAAGACAGAGGGAAAGCACTTTTATACAGCTTTGAAAATCCAAGTCTGTTCATTTATAACTATACATAGATAAAAAGGTTATTGCAAGCTTATAAGAACAATCTCAGAATGTCATATGTTTAGATTTTTAGTCTTTTTGTCTGTGAAGATTATCACTGTAATCTTCTTTCCTAAGGTTAAGGTTGATGGCAAGCCTGAGAATTTCACTTGCTATCCCTCATTGCCACTCTCTGGGCAAATTATGTCCATAGTCTCCATTGTCTGAAAACTATTCAATTTAAAATGCATGATTTACTATATAGCATCAAGACCCCACTAGATGAGAATTAAAAAGCAGGTTTATTATCTGTCACTGCGTTCATATGTTTGAACTATAAAATAATTGATTAATTAATCAATTATTACCTCCTTAGAAAATTTTACAGTTATGTTCCTCTAGGGGGGAAAATACAGAGTATCACTACTCGTTTCTAAGATATTATTTGACTACATGTAGTATTTTAGTACGACTCCTTTAGCCAGGGCTCTTGCTTTTGTCCCATGCAACAGCTAGAATAGCACTTGCCTTCAGGGCAGAAACAGCCATCCATGTAGTGCTCCTCACAAAGGCTGCTGATCTCCAAGTGTGAGCAAGTATCCATGCAGGGTGAGCTGCTTTCTCTATAGACCATGGTAGCGGGACAGCTCTTGGCTGAAGGAATAAGAAAGACACCCTCAGTTATTTGACTTAAGTCCATCATTCCTGAAACCCACAAATCATACACCCTACTCCCTTCAAGCCAGTGGTGTCTCAAGCCAGACTCCACATGGAAAAGCATGTTCATCTAGTTCTGAACTGTTTTTTATATTTACTTCTTTTGCTTTCAAATAGATCAAATTATTCCCATCTCCTGCAGCATCAAATCTTAGGTTTTTTTAATGGGAGCAGAATGTGCCGAAAAATATTTCTTAATGGCAAAAGTAACAGAAGGAAAAAAAAGGGAGAGCATCATATTTTTAGCACTACCGGTATGAAATTTATAATACATGCCAACAGTTTTGTGAAGAAGTAATGAATTTAAATTTCATGGTTCTACATGCATGAAACATTTGGATCTTTGTAAAATTCGTGTAGCTGCTTACGGCAAAAGTTCTGTGTCCTCCATTCTCCTGGGCGGCCGCCGGCATGTGAACACTGGCGGGAATACTCAGAGATGGTGCTGCAGAGGCAGAAGGAGTCCTCCTTCCCATTACAGGCACACTTGTCCTGCATGCAGGCTTGGATGTACATTTCCAAATTCAGACGTAGCCGACAATCGGCAAATGCAGGGGAAGTCAGCAACCTCTGACACTCATCACGCTGAGGAGGAAGGTGAATAATGTTTAAGAGATTTTTAAGCATTTGAGCTTCTGGACATTTCTTATCTTGAAAAAAACCCTGTTCCCTTTTGAACAGCTAAGAAAAAGTAACCATTTATCCTGGAAGGGAGAGTCCTTCCAGCTCCTTGCAACTAACTCCCTGCTGCACAAGGATGTCTCCATGTGCCCATGTAAATAAAGTTCACCACAAGGAATACTTACATGCTCATTACAGCTTGGAAGAGCCTGAGTTTCATCTGGATCTTCACATTTGGCATTGGGTTTGCTGATCTTCTGCATGTTCCCATATGTAATTGAGTTGTAGCTTGCATCTATGAGAAAAAAATGTAAAGAGAACTTTCTGAGCTCCAAAAATTGACAAGGAGCACCTGATTCTGGAAACTCTATTGATTAAGGGAAACAGTTACTATGATATCAAAGATGCTTGTCAGACACAGGTACCTGCTCCGAATGATGTCTAACTGTGCTCAAAAATGTAAAAGGGAAACAGGAAAAGAAGGCAAGTAAAGAACAAAAAGATTAATCTGGAACAGAATAAATTTAGATCAGGAATGCAGCACTGGAACTTAATGTTTAGTCTGGGGCAATCACAGAAACCTCTCAAGTGAAGTTTGCTCTCCTGTGTTTCTATGCACAGGGCTTGTCAGCCTATCTTCAGTGACAGCTGTCAGTATGGTGGGATGACACACCTCCATTGATGAACTCATTGTAGATTTGAATTCCATTGTAATCCCCACAGAGACCACAGGTATGGTTATTAAATTTGTTGTCCAGCTCCACCTAAATAATGAAAAGAAAAAGGAAAAACGTAAAAGAATTATCTTTTTTTCCTCCTTTTCTCCCCTCCTATTTTTTTTTTTCCTACTGAGATAGAGAAATACCCCAGGAAACCCAGGAAATACCAATTAAAAATACTTTGATCATACATACCATCAGGGCATCCTGCTGGTTCCACATCAGAACCATGCCTAATTTAGCATAAATCTTGGTGTAAATTTCATTGCTCTCAATGAGGACACCAGAGGTGTAGTAAGGTGTCTTCACACTAGAAGAAAATCACAGACATTGCATTAGTTAGGAAACCTAAGGGCTGACATGAATGTCTGCAATAAGCCAAATACCACAAGGAATAGAGAAACTAGTCTGACTACCTCATCCTAACTGCACAGGATGCCTTGTTTAATGAGACATAAAGTCTTTTCTTTCTGACAATTGGGACAGTAACTCATTGAAAAAACTCATTTATAAGGCAAAGCAATTTCAGAGGAAAAACCTACCAAACACTTCGGACTCTTTAACTCAAAAAAACCCAAAATGTCAGATGTCTTTAAATTAGTCAAAGAAAAACCATCATCATTGTGGTATTAACAGAGGATATTCAAACACTCACTAATAATTTACATCAATGAAAGGAGCTACAACATAATTTACAGTGTTTCTTTACCAAAATATCTCAGCCAATTCAGAGAGAATAAATGTTCCATTGCAAGGAACTGCCTTCTTATTGAGAGAGTTCAGAATGCACAGGCAGTTACAGGGACAGCCAACAAAATTTTGAAAAGAAAGGAGAATGTTAAGAGGAATTCAGTCGCTCTTTCAGTAGTTAGTTACTTTGTTTTAAGTGTACAGGACTGAGCTTGTTAATGGTGACAGAAGACAGTTTGCAGAGGGCTGAGCATAGATATTTTTGTGTGATAACAATTCATGTCTTACAAATAAATCAAACTGCTGAATTTCATTCAGCAACAAAAAGATTGTGGCAGGCAGTCTTATCCTTTAAAATCTAGAGGACTAGAATCTGTTCAAACAGCAGTAAACTGTTAGAACCAATGTAAACTGGAATCCAATCAAAATAAGTGGTTAATTTTGTACAGATTAATCAATGTAATTTCTATCCATCAGGATTCACGCATGTGTATGCACATCTCTTAACTAGTCTCTTGACTGGGAGAGCTTTATCTCCTAATTTTTTGTCACTGGGGTTTTTACAGCTATTTACCTCAGACATTTTTTAACGTGTCCAAATGACGTACGCATCTAGGTGCAAACTCAGAGATCATAATTTCTACTTTTGACTGCATTGTTCATCAATAAACAATGAAGTGTTGATAGATTATGTTTCTTGAGGGGGAGCATAAAATTTTGGACATCTTTTCAGCTTTTAACTATCACAGCACGGAATATTTATCTTTTTTTCTAATAGTAGGACATTCAATCAGTCAGTGGATCAAGTACCTGAAGGCTAATCCATACACTTTGCTACTTCACAGTTTTCACTTCAGCACTGCAAAATGCTATTTTACATGACATTTGATCGTTTATCATTTCAGGATCAATATGGAAAATTAAGTTCTACAAAAACATAAATTCAATCCAAGCAGCAAAAACCTGTTCAGCAGGGATCTGTTGTTTTATGACAGTAAAGTTTATCTAAGACAAAAATGGCTCTGTTTAAGAGAAACAGTTATAAAAGGACTTCTAACTTGTTTTTCATGGAGTTCTTTTTAAGACTTGAGTACACAGTTAAGAGCTTTTTCAATTTGAGGGAAGAATTAATTTTTTGTAACTTTCTTTCATTTTTCATGCCTTCTAATATAATTTTTGGAAAACTGAATGTTACCTTCAATCTTTGAACATATTTTCATTGCAGTGGCTTGTGAACTTTAGAGCAAAAGTTGAATTTTGGGCAAAACTGAGTTCTCCAATGACAAATAAAAAGTTCTCTTTTTTTCAATTATGCTAAAACATACTAATTAACTCACGAGTTGCTTCAGAGTATAAATGCACACACTACAAGGATACGCTAATGATAGGAAAGACTAGGTGAAGACACAGCATCAGTAATGGTGTCAGAGAAGTTTCTTGTTTAATCATGTTATAGAAGGAGACAAATAACACTGCTTAGTCTGAAAAAAGTACATATTGCCACAGATAAATTAGTGTAAATTTTGACCTGTGATATATCTATTAAACTCCCTTGAGAAATGGCCATCAGATCTTAAAGAATTATTTATGAAGATCAGAAAAAACTACCCTCTTCTGTCAGAAAATAAAAGGAAAAAAACACAGAGAAATGCATTTACTTTTCAAGGATTTGCTAGACCATCTGCTAAGGTAAAACTCAAGATGATGCCATTAAATAAATGAAGTTATGTCATTTTAAGATAGTGAAAAATCTGGCTCATAAGCTGCACTGTTTTCTGCACAACTGGAAGAACAATTCACTCAACCATATTCCTGACTTGCATTTAAGTAATCCCTTATGCCAGTGTAGAAATGACAATTGAAACTAAAGCCCCTCCCCAAAGCAATTTCAATGCTGAATTTCAAAAAGATTTTTTGTTTGTTTGTCTGTCTGTGGAAATTCTTTGTAGCAGTTTCTCCAGTGGTACACAGACAGTTGCATAAAAAATCAATTCTGCTTTTATCTTCCCAGCACATTTCTCTGAATAACATTATAGTAAAGGAACTTACATCCGCCCTTCCACTACAACCAGGTTTGGTTTGAGGTAGACCATTATATCCTTGATTTTCATCAGAATATACTGGATCTCAGGATGGCCATTGCTGTTGAGAGCACGCTGGATGTGGACAGAGAATTCCTTGTAAGCCTCTCGACAGTCGGAAACAAAATTGTACTCGCAAATGCCAGGGAATTGGTAGACGTCTCCATCAAAAGTTTTGAAATGGTTGTTTCCCCAAGTGCTGCAGACATAGTGGCCATGGCTTCTTGTCCTTCCTGTTAAGTGATGAAAAAGAAATAGATATGAAAAGAAGTGCAAGAAATGCTCTAGTGTTAAAAAAGGTGTTTCATTTTACAGTAGGAACCACTTGCAATTATGTGCACAGTGATTCCATAGATTTCAAGCCTCATCAAGTATCTGCCAGATCAGCAGAAAATATTAAAATCTTTAAAGGTGAATAAGATATTAATAAATAATTCTGAGACCACGGTATATCCTGTAATCCTCACTGAGGTGAAGGAACTTATCTGCATGAGGTGAGGAAACTTAATACTGACCACTAACTTGGTTTCTGTGCCAAGCATATGATTTTATTCTGAATCACAGTATTATTTTTATCAATATTAAATTTTCCCAAGAACCATCTTCTTTCCTGGTGCAACATGTACTAGAAACGAAACAGGTGGGAAACCAAGAAAGTACTACCTACTCTGGAAGGCAAATAGTTTAAAGGTTATGAAAGGGCTTGTGCACAACAGGAGATTTCAGGGAATTATTTATTTTCCTAAAAGCAGTAGTGATTCCTATTGCTGCAAGACAGAAATTTTTCAGAAGATAGGTCAGAAAATAGCCATAGTAGGAGGAGAAAAATAAAAGAAGTTTTTGCAATAGCAAAACATGAAGATGATTTTTTCCTTTCCCTGTCATCTATACCAACAAATAATACAAATTAACAAAATATCTGATGAATCTCCAGATACTGTAAGTTAGGGGCAAATAATAAAAGCTGATCCTCCTTGGGAATCTTGATATATCTCTCATCTTCACAAGATTTTCTTGGATCATTTAACATGACAAAGCAAAACTACTAAGAACACCTCTAGGTTACTATACTTTGATGGTATCAATCATACCAGATACATCCAGCCAAGCTGGAATGTTTCCCTCCCCAGAAGGAAGGCTACAGAGAGATCCTCCCCGGAGCTCACAGCTGGAAGACCAAATCCAAGATAAAGCTATCCTCCCATTGCTAAATTCAAGACACAACAGACCAAGTTCAATAGCCCAAACCTGATCACTGGATATAGTTCATCACCTTTTTCTCTAGAAAGCAGTTTTCAGTAAGAGTGTTCCATTCCATTACTTCAAATTTTACAGCAAATACAGTAAGTTAGAGCTTTTGGAAAAGGATTTAAAATGTCCTAAATGACAAAATTAGCTTTTTCCAATGTTATTACATTCATTTTTGAAGACCAACTTATGTTGTTCCAAAGTAACAGAAGACACAATCATCCATTTCTTCATTGCTTTAACAATGAACCTCTCAAAGTCCTACAGTTCCTTTCTGTCAAGTTGTTGCCATACCTAGTGAAGACTCAATGCATGGAAAGAAAAGCAACTCTGAAAGTATTTTCCAAGCATATCAAACTAGAAATCAATGCAGTAGATACAGGCACTAACTTCTGCAAAGAAAGTAGTATCTACTAATTTTGTCCACGCAATGCAGCCTCAATATTTGAAAGCTTAAGCAATTTAAGGCGTCCTAAAACTCCAGAATATTATTTAAATGCACTGCCTCATTCCAGCTCCACAGCGATATTTTAACTCTCTCCCTCTTTTCCAGGAGGCAGTCTGCTACCATTCCATCTCTAGAGCTTACCTTTCTTTATTTCATTAGCAGAGGAAAGAGCCAGCCAGAAGAGGAAGAGGCTGGCCACTCTTAGCCCCATGGTGGCTAAGGAGGGTGAATGGGAACTCCACTGGAAACTCGGCTTTTTATAATACCCACTGAGGCAATTGATTCTATCACAGGGAGGAGATTCAAAGGGAGGAGGCAAGAGGAGGGGTGAAAAAACAGATGTGATATTTGCAGAAGATAAGAAGTAAACAGACAATCGTTTTTCACCATAAATGAAGGAATACAGCATAAGGAAATAGTATAATATTGATTCAGTAATCATGTAATTTTTTATTGCTCTATTTCATCTACAGGATGCTGTGCTTTTAAATCCTTCAAATGTTCACGCCAAGTTAAACCCTCAGCAACTCCCATAACAAACAATGAATTTTGGGGTGGATGAACAAAGAAAGCCCTTGAAGATATTTTAAGGTGAGATCCTAAAATAGAGGCTTCAAAACCAAAGAATTTTTTCATTTTTCATCATCAGATAGAACGATTTCTGTAAAAAATTAGGCGATGCTTGTGAAGCTCTTAGTAATTAACAGTAACCCTTGCAAATAAAATGGCACATCATGTGTCGTAAAATTATTTTGCAGGCATTTATTTTATTTCTTTAATTTTAAAAGCTCTTGGGAACATCTAAACCAAAATACTGCTCATATTGCATATTTTACCCAAAACATAATTGAGACTGGGTGACACAGTAAGTTCAAAAATTTTACAGTAAAAGAGGTGCTCCTTCAAACCTTATCATGGTGCAACAGAATCTCCATCAAAGTTGGAGAGATTCTCACTAGTATTAGCTTTAGAGAAAAAGTAAAAAAAAAGAAGGAAAAATGGAAAAATGTTACCGTCCCTAATCCTGCTAAACATTCTTCTTTATTCTGGCTTACTTTCTACATAAATGATAAATTTACAGTCTGCTGTCACACATCAGATCCTACAAAAGCTATGGGGTCAGCTTTGCTTTGTGCAGAGAAAGATGGGAGGGTCATTGGGAGAAGAAAGAAAGTAAAAAACAGAATCAGGAACCAGTTCAGAATGCTGCTTCAGAAATAGAAGATTTTCACATGCACATGATTTTGTGCTGAAAAGTTCCTTTGTGAAGGTCTTTCTGCAACTCTCTTCATAAGACAAAGACAAAAGACAGGCTCTTTGAGGTAAAGCACCCTTCCTTCAAGACATCTTGTAACACATCTACTTCATAGCATTAACAGGGTTTACTTCTTAAAGCTCCCAGGCCGGTCTCTACATTTCCTCATCAAAAAATTTTCAATGCAGTGAACAGAAATCTGTAATCCTCTTCATCCTTTAAAATATTTCTTACTTTCATTAAACATATTATAAGTAGAACTTTTATATTTTTCAAAACATCACGGAAAGTTTTTACTTAGCCCTTTTGACTGCTCTAGTCAACTGGAAACATCCTCTTATCATAAAAGCATATTCTTTAGCTGATTTTTTTTTATTTAATAATTTTATCTCAACTATAGCCTAGACTCCATCTGAACATCTTCCTGTTTTTCTTCAATACATCTCAAAAGGTTTTAGATTTTCTCCTTTCTCTATCTGAGAATACAAATTTGCACTTCTCTTACCCTTACATAGTGTATCACTCAATAATCCTGGCTGAAATTAAGTAGTAGTCCTTTTCTCCCTCATGAATCTAACAGTGGAAGTTTATAACTTTATTTTCCTTTTTGGAAAATAAAAATAAACCCAGTAATAATTAGAAATAGTAATAATTACAATAATTACATATAGTAATAATATGTAATAGTAATAATTACAATAGTAATGGTTGGTTAGAACCAACCATTCATAGAAAACAAAGAAAAAACACAGTCTACAGAGATCTTTCCTCAGTGGTTACTTTACCAGACTTAACTTGTTATGATATCTCAGAGACATCTCCCAACTTGGAATTTTCTGGGTTTTATGCCACCAAAACACTTAGTTTGGACATGTTTTCTAAAAACACTTAGGAGATTCCCAAAGGACTGTATTTTGAGCTTTTCTTTTCCTCCCTGTGTTTTTCTAGGTAGTCTCTTGGCTAGAACTATCACCACAGAAGAAAAAGGGTTTCCATTACTTATGTACACAGCAAACCTGACCCCTTTTTAGATTAAAATGGATGTGTATGCTGACAGATGTAAGTTGGAAACTTGCATATTTTCCATTCAGATTCCTTTGCCATGAAACTTCTCGATATCGATGGAACCAGTCTCATTCATTTGTTGGGACTGGGAAAAGTAATCATCCTTCAACTGAAGTTGCACCATATCTCAGTTCAATGTGCCAGTATTTTTATAATTTTTATATATTCTGTGTAGGAGAAGAGCTATTTTTAGCTAAGCATCTCTAAATTTTAGAGACTGATTTATTCTGCTCCAGCTTTGTCCTGCCTGTACAGGAAGCATGCATGATTCCTTCTTGAGCTATAAAGTTACGCAGGACAATTTTCCTTCTGCAGTCTTTGCTTCTCAGAGTGACCAACAACTTCCCACTGTCCCTTCTTCTGACATATATGTGGCTTGCTGTGACATCTCACACCAGGGAATAAGGGCTATCAACATGTCTTTAAGCACTCACATCACTCTAACAGAATTCACACTTGAGTTTACATGACTGTGATGATCTGAAGAGAAATAAAGACAGATTCTTATCTCCAAAAGTCTTAGGTATTTGTACTTTTGCTAGCATTAGAAGGTGTCCTAAACTATACTGTCTCTGTTTCCTTATTGCTAGAAGGGTAATGATCCCGTCTACCATCTGTTTTATATGTCTTTCAGAAATAATCAGTCTTTGAGGTAGACATCAGAGCCTGGTTTATTTCTTGCTCAGTTACCTTAAAGGCTTTTAATCCAGAAGAACCTTACTGGTGATACACAGATAACATCTGTATGTATGCATTAATGTATTTACCATAAATTATTTGACAACCTGAAGGAACCAACCATTTTGCAGCAAAATTAATTCCACTTTATCATTATTATTTTTGCCCCAAGCTTATATAAGTTATCTATACCTGAGCTGACCATTCTGTGGAATTTCATGCCATTCCTGCTTCTAGCCATCTTAATCAGAAGTCACCTTCCTCTTTCCAATTTCAGATGTTCAGGTGCTTTTATTACCAAACATATTACTTATAATTCTGCATGCTGTCACTATGCAAGAGGCAGCAGAACTAGTGACAAGAAGGATTTTCATATTTAGGTTCCGAAGCTGAGTATTAACAGGGGTGTTTTTCTTTAAATTCCTGAAACCCATGAGTAGCAGTACAGCTTCCCATAAGCTTCCACTATATGTCTGACTTAGGAGCCCCAACACTAGTGCTACAACAATCACTGCTAGATTCCAAAGCATAAAAAAGAAAAGCTGGTTGCATGACAAGTGTGTTTGTTATAGCAGCAGATGCAGAAGCAGAGATAAAAGATGTGTTTTGAGTCATGGTTATGTCAATGCATTGTTTCCCTTCCCTTAAACTTTTATGACACTATTTTCAATCGTTCCATCAACATAGCTAATCTTTAACGTTCATTTAGTTACAGGGTAAATTTATTTTGCAATATACTGATTTTTAAAATGAGATTCTACGTGGAAGATTATCTTCATTCTGAATCACACTGCAGAAGAAAAGGGCCTATATTATAATTTATATAACTTTGAGATGGAATTCAGCTGAGACCTGATTTGGTTTATTGTTTTAGGAAGAATAAACAAATTTTCAAGAATGTGGGGTCTGTTTCTATTAGTTAACATACTAAGAGGAAATCTAATTACGGTCTTGCCACAGCAATCGCAGGATGACCACTGTACAAATACCTCAAAAAGTACAATTACACTTGGTGACTGAGATCTTTTCCATATCTGTTATTGTAGTCCTGACTTGCTGATCACAGGCTGCCAAATCAAGCAGCAATGTTCTATCAGTAATATTCTGCAGAAGTGGCCACAGGATTTTGTTCTGCTGTTCTTCCACCCACCAGAATTTCACCAGAGCACACACAGCCTTACACATGACCATACAACTGCAAAGTATACACATCACTCCTTTTGTTCCAAGCACAGATTGTCTGAACCGGGTTGCTGGAACTCTCTTCGCAGTGATTCTAAAATAGCTGTGGTAAAATTTAGCCAAATTATGAATTCAGAGATGTATCATACACAATCACTGTATTTCCTTCACTGAGGCATTTAAGCCTTCTACAGCACATCTTGACAAAAACTTAACAAGCCACAGAGACAAGCAGCAGAAGGCTGAACAGTGCGTGAAACTGTTAAAGCAATGACATAAAAGTAATGCGGGTGAATTTCATTTTGACATGCACACTGCCAACAGATTAATCCAAAATTACCATCAGAAAAGGAGTCAACATTTAGATGGATGTAAAACTGAAACAGAATTAATTTCATCACTGTAACCTTGAGCAGCCTTTGGGTTATGGGCATTACTTTTCATTCCAACAAATACAATATTGTAAGGTGTAAATACAATATTGCTGATGCTGGCTGCAGTATAACGTTCTCACATGCCCTTCCTTAAGTGGTTTGGCATAGAAATTTTAAGAATAGCATCTATTTTCCACTCATAGTACTTCCTTCTTTGGAAGTCAGCATCTCATCCTCTGAGAATAAAATTGCAAAACATTTCCTTTTCTTCCAGTTAGATACAAGTGGGGATAAACATGTGACACACAATTACTGAAGATTAGGAAGAGATGTAGGAAATAACTTCAGTGAGTAAGCTTTCCTACCAACACTCAACTTCTAGAAAATTTCAGTCTTCAAATTGCCTCTGCACAGAGGCTTCTACATCAATACACAAGGAAAAATATTTGACAATTTAAAATAATATTAGAGCAGTTCTGCTTTGCTCAAGCATCTGTGAGATTTACTACAGGGAAATGGACTGAGCCAAGAAGAGATGGCATGGAAAAGGCATCAAGGGAATTACATTTCACATACCTTACTCTAGTAATACACATACCATACTCTGGTAATTTTGCCCCAGGGGATCAGAATTTTCCAAATCTTTTATTTTCTCTGTAGGAAAAAGTGGGGGG